GTTCTTTTTGGGGGGTGTTTTTTCGGGCCAAGAGCCCACAGCTTTTATCAGCTTTTCCTGAGAGTTCACAGTCATGAATAGGTTAAGAAAAAATTTAGTTCAGCTCCTTAATTTACAGGAGAGAAACCACAGACCCAGAGAAGTAGATTGGCCCATCTAGGATAGAGCTAGGATTCCAGCTCAGGTCTTCTTGTTTGCAAGCCGCTAACAGACATGCACTTCCTTTGTAACACGTCAGAACGTACCTTAAGAGACAGTCACCTTGGAAGCCCCTGGGTTGAGCCTCTGGCTGGTGGCCCAGAGGCCTGCCTCATAGAAAGATGGGCTTTGGGCTATGCCCCTGGCCAGGGCTGTAGGAGCTCATTGTCCTTAGTATCCCTCCGGTAAAGCTGGAATGAAATGCATGCTAGACCCACAGGGTTTTGTGGCGAACAGTACAAGTCAGTGATAAGGAAAACCTGCCACTCTCAGAACCAGCTCAACCTCATAGCACCAGAATCAGCCATTCTGGCTCTTCTCCCTGCCATGGCATCTTCTCTGGCTTCTTTAGAGGAAAAAACTGAATGAATGCCTGCCTCAATCACTTCAGCTTACTCTCTCTATAATATATGTATGTGTGTGTGTGTGTGTGTGTGTGTGTGTGTATGTATATATATACATATATATATATATGTTCACAACTTCTTTCCCTCCCTCTGCTGCTCCATTGGGAAAGATTCCACCAACTCTGTGTCCTTGACATTGAAACAGCGCTGAGTCCCCACTCTTCCGCTAGGGTGACAAGAGCTGAAGAGAGTTTCTGCTGACCCTATTTGGAGGTAGAACTCATGGCCTTCCGCCCTGACTTGTTCACATTTTTGGCTTAGCTTCTTCTAAGACCTTTTGGACCTCAGCAATCCTTTCAATGACCTTACAAGGTAGAACTTTATCAATCCATTGATACTGAGGAGAATGGAATGGAGAGGTTAACTGATTTGGCCAAAGCCACAGAAGTGCTCAGCAGCACTGGAAATGTTTGCCTCCAGACCTCTCCTTGTGGTCTTTGCATCATCTGAACTCAGGACTTTTAAGGTAGACTTGGGGAGACTATCATACAGAAGTGAAGAGTTCATTTCCCCACTCCCTCTCTGTAGCAGCTTGCATTGACACCCTCACCCCCACCCCGAAGGGGCCGCTTAGATGAACTCTGGAGACTTGAGCGGAAGACAGTTGGTGCTGGTGTAGCAGAGCAACTGGGGTTGGAAAGGACACCAAACATCTCCTTGCTGCAGTGCCTCTTTGCAAAGACCATCAACTCAGAGAGGCCTGGAGCAGTAGGGTGCTAGGGTTAGTCCTGATGCCATGGCATGGCCCATAGGGAGACTGAGTGTCACTGTGCTGAACACTTAGCATCCACAGCAGCCACAGCTTTGCCTTCCTCCTGTCTCCCCCTGCCACGGCCAGCCACTATCTTCCCCTTGCTCCCCTCCTGACTGGCCATTAGTCTCCCAGGTCCTCCCAGTTCCTGTGACTTGACTTTTTTTTTAAAAGATAAAAATACAAGTGGACCATTTTTAGCCACTCTAAAGGGCCACAAATACCATTCGCTGACTTTTCGTCTAAAAAAGCACACACCCAGCAAAGACACTTCAGAAGCAAGTCAGAATTCCAGGAAAGGGGCAGGGGACATCTCCAGTGATCAATCCTGTATGAGAAGTCACTAAGCTCTGCAAACACCTAAGGGGGTGCAGTCAGGGTAGCAGGAAAGTCCCCCCCCATTCCCCCTGCCCAGCCTCCCCACCCTCTACCAACCGGCATGGGTCACCTTCTATAGGGGGCAGATGCTGCGGAGTGGGGCTGCCTGCCTCCTGTCTGGGTGAAGCCTGGGCTCCTTCCACGTCTGCTAGGCTGGCTTCTTCCCCCTTCTGCTGAGAGCCTGAGGCCACCTCTGTGGTGGTGGCTGCCTCCATGCTGGGCCTACCCAGAGGCTGTGTTCCAGCTGAAGGTTTTCCTGGGTTGGTGGTGAGGGAGGGGCTGAGCACCTGCTCTCCAGGCTGGCCTCCCAGGGTCCCAATCACAGGCTTATGTAAGTGGGCTGGCCTCTTCCCCACTACCTACTCCCAGCAGAAGGGTGAAATAGGGGCTAGGGGAAGAGGAGGATCAGACAACAGCCCAGAATAGCCACAGGAGGAGGGCCGAGGTAGCCCTGTTATCTTGGGAGAGAGATGACACCCCCTCACAGTACTAGGAGGGAGGGGAGAGATTGAGAACCGACCATCTGAACAGGACCTGGCCTCTGTCAGAGGATTGGCTCACATCTCGGCTCCTGACCTCTGGCTCCCCCAGCAGTGCTCAGGACCCAAGATCACACCTTTAAGATCTCCTACATCCAATGAGCAGCAAAGCCTCATCAACATGACCTTCCCAGAGCCCCCTCTCCCGCCTCACTCCTTCCCTTTCCAGCAGCTAGCCAAAGGCAAGGTGGTGCAGTGAGGGGTGATTTGGCTCCGCTTGGGCTCTGTCACCAGTTTAGTTCTGTGTGTTGTCACACACCCTCTGAACACAGGCCTTGCACAATGCTAGGCAAGTGTTCCACTACTGAGCTACGCCCTCAGCCCTCAGTCAGGAATGTCTATTTTCATCGGTAAAATGGAGATAATAGAAACCGTAGGGTTGTTGTGAGGATTAAGAGAGGTAATCTTTGTGAAGTGCTTAGCAGACTAAGTGCTCCATAAATGGAAGCTATTTTTAGGTCAGGCCAGCATCCCCCCCTCCTGCCCCCCTCTTGAAAGCTGTCAATGGCTCCCTTCTTATGAGATAAAGCCCAAAGTAAGAGGTACAAGAGCACAGGAGGGGAACTCCTTAACTGGAAGAGAAATGTGTGACTTCTGGCTGTACCACTCAGTCACCAGCTGGTGGCTCTGAGCCACAGGTCTATGGAACAAGGGCGGCCAGTGTCATGATTGGGCTGTGGAGACAATGATTACAATGCAGGAGGGTCTGCTTGTATGCAGTAAGTGCTAGTTGCCCACTAGTGGCCCATATGATTTCCAGGTTTACCCTACCATGCATCACCTGCTGCCTGCTCCGTAAGTACATTTTCCCATCACACTCCCACTTTCCATTTCCAGAAGCCAGTCTCCTCTGAATTTTTAAAATACACACTTTAGTTTCAGAGTTGTTTCAGGGTGATAGCCAAGTTGAGTAGAAGTAGAATTACATCCCCCTCCCCCTTGTTTTCCCCATGGGGAGAAGTCACTGTGGTAGAATGAATGAGCTTACTTATTTAGCCCTCAACTTCAGGGCACTCAGTAGGACCCTGGTAGTCCTTTGCTGTTTGTGCTCAGTCTCTGCAATCTATAGGTTCTGGACAACCTATGGTTTATACTTCTGTGTGAGGAACTGATTTATAAGGCACTGGGATGGCTAAAAAGAGTAGTGTGGAGATTGACTGGATCTGTACTTGTTCCATAACAGAACTATTTTCTTGCCTGACCCAATCAAGGTTACTACAAGTATGAGCAGTGCCCAAATCAGGCTGCTCTTTTATATACCACATTTTGTCATATTTTGATGAGGAAATGGTCCAGCTTTTACTCTTAGCCCTTTATTACACCAAAAGTGTGAAGAATCAAATTTAAAATTCCTTAGGCCTGCCATAAGAAAGTGAAATTTGTTATGTCTGGGGTAGAAGCAGGAATGTGCATTTTCAAAAGCAATCAACAGATACTGGTACAGGGAGTCTTAGAACATAATGTTCAGTTGAATTCCTGAAACTGAACTACCCCCTCTACATCCCCCCCAAATCATGAGGCATAGGAACTCTCTCACCAGTGGCTCACACCTGTAATCATAACTACTCAGAGGAGGCTGAGATCTGAGGACTTAAGTTTGAAGTCAGCCTGGGTAGGAAAGCCCATGAGACTCTTATCTCCAATTAACCACCAAAGGATACCCAGAAGTGAAGCTCTGGCTCAAGTTGTAGAGTGCTAACTTTGAGCAAAACTGCTCAGGGACAGCACCCAGGCAGAGGAAGAAGAAGAAAAGGAGGGGGAGGAAGGAGAGGAGGAGGGGGAGAGGAGGAGGAAAAGGAGAGGAAGAGGGGTAGAGAGGGGGAGGAGAAGGAAAGAACAACAACAAGACCTTTGATCATTTCCAGACCAAGATACTGGGGTATTAAATGGTAATGTTGGCCAAAATGGCCAAAGGCTCAAAGCAGTTGGGAGGAACTTCTTGTACAGATCCATTTGGAATGATGCTACTACTCATTGAAGGACTGAGGACTGTAAGAGCAACTTGGAAACCTTAGGAGGGACAGATACAAGGCTACAAGTTAAATTTCTAGCATTGTCTCTTGTCAAACAGGCTACAAGGAACAAAGAATTCAGAAGACCAGTACTCTGTTACTGTCCAGAAGGATGCACAGCAATGGAAACTAGAGAAGGTGTAGGGGTGTGTGTGTGTGTGTGTGTGCGCGAGAGAGAGAGCACGCATTAGATTTTCTGAAGGGAGAACAAGAGAGCTGCTCATAGGAGGCAAACTTTGGATCTGCATAAAGGACAACAAAAGGAAAGAATACAAACAAAAAGAAGAAAAATTTATCTAATATCCTTCATACTATAAATGCATAGGTCTGGCCTGTTTGTTTGGTGGCAGTTGTGGGGCTTGAACTCAGAACCTGGACATTGTCCCTGAACTTTTGTGCCCAAGGTTAGAGCTCTATCACTTGAGCCACAACTCTGGCTTTTTGATGTGTTAATTGGAGATAAGAGTCTCATGGACTTTCCTACCCAGGCTGGATTTGAACCTTGATCCTCAGGTGTGAACCCGTTGGTGCCCAGCCAGGCCTGGTTTTTAATGGGCTTCTTTTCTAGTTGCTTGAGTTTGATTTCTGAAACTAGAAAATGGAGAAGCTATCACATCAACAAACTGTAGCTTAGTCATCTTGGTAGGTCAGGTAACAAAGTCCAGTTTGTTTATTTCTAACCCAAATACTGCAAATATACAGAAAATTACTGGTACAAAGTTAAACACATCCAGATTTATTTACACAATGCTAAAGAAATTTGAGTTTTATTTTCATCTTGTGGGATTTCATTATGGGATCTGGCTTTGAACTTACATGGCCATTGAAACTTGATTATCCCACCTCACATGCAATTTTCTGTTCCGAGGGAGCAGAAAGCTTGAGTGTTTAGCACACATGCAGTAGTGATCTTAACACTGCTTTACACTCTCATTAGGAAGGCAGCGTCCCACAGCTTGGAGAGGGACCACATGCTCAGAAACAGAGACAAGAGGGTGATGAGCAACAGGCACATGGGGACCCTGAGCATTTCTGTGCAGGAGGATAAGAAGAGAACAACCCAAACCTCCTCTCTGGAGGTTCAAACACGGGAGGTGGTAGAACCACCAGGGGACGGTCAGTCATCCGGCCACACCCGAGGGCATGCGGAAGACAAACACCGCATTAAAGATTTGAGGCCTACCAATAAATCATTAGCATGTACACTATACAGTTTATATATGTATATATGTACATATGTATATATATATAGGTACAGGTTAGTTTATGTTATTCCATATAAACAAGAACGCTTAAGAATGTACTGGTGTGCAAAAAAAAAATGTATACAGCAAGTTGTTGACAGTTTCAAATCAATTTTCTGATTCTTAATGTTAAAATGCAAGGAACCAAAAAGTCAACACACTCCTATTTCAATTCTCTTTCACCACCCTGAGGGCCAGACAGGCCAATCAGTGGCTGATTCTTGCTCTCCCTGTCCCTATATCATGTAGCAAATATTAAACTTTGGTTTATTCAAAGGACATTCAAGTCCCTGTTAATTTCCCTGCTGGAAGGTAGGTGGTAGAAAGTTGAAAAGCTGCGTCCTTTCCTGTTTCAGTCGTTTCAACTACCTGGCTTAATGTGGACATGACAGTGCCAGGATGACCACAAACAGATGTGATCTTGGTCATTGTGTACAGGGGCGGGGCTCTTCAGAGCTCTCCTAAGAGGAAAGAGAAACTCTATCTAGATGGTTTGGAGAGCAATTAAATGATTACAGGGACCAGCCACGTCACCGAGGGTTCATGTGGATGGCCCGTGCCCTGTTCTCCACCCTGGTATCATGACCAAGGCTGTGGGATGTCTAGCTATGGCACTGGAGGTGGCCAGGATATACTATTCTGCCACCCCAGCACAGAGACTCAGTAAACCTACAACTAGGAGAGTAAGAAAGGCACCAACCAGCTAATTCTCTCAGAATCTGCTCAGTTCCAAGCTTCAAAGACTGAAACTCTATAGAAATTCCCAAGCTTCTAGGACTCTTCTGAGTAGTGTTACCACTCAAGTCCCAGCTGAGGCATGTCTAGAACTGGTCTTTGCTCTCAGTAAAGCCCTCAAATCCCCGAGTCTCAAGCAGGAAGGATGGTGAGTTCTGGATTTAAGAGCTCAGACTACTTGGACAGTCTGGTATAACAAGGCTAAATTCCACTGCTCAGGCCTCTAGAAACCACCCCTTTTGCTGCCATCTTGCTGCAAGTTTCATGATGACACACGTTAGCTTTACCTTTAAGGATAGTATCCCCAGGCTGAGCATCAAAAATCAGATTTTTTTTTTTTTAAAGCTCCAATGGATTTAGATTCTTTTACCCTCTGGTCAAGAGCACACATTCTGTACTATATGACTGGTACAGAAAGCTAATTTGAAGGCAATTCCCAAGCCAACAAAGCCAACCAGCCAGCCATGGCTCAAAGCAGGAAGATGGAGACCACCCATCCATGGTAACTCCCTTTTAGGCTCTTCCACAGGTACCCTCCAAGAGGAGAGGAGCTGCTCCTGAAGACCCATTCAAAATTCATCATTTCTTTTGTTTTCATCCATGAAAAACATGAGCATAAAAATTTCTATTTTCCAAAAATAAAACAAAAGGTCCCTAAATAATGCTTTGAAAGAAATACACGGATCCTTATCCTATAGAACAAGTCATTATAAGAAAGAAGGCCTGCTCCAAGCATTCAGCACTTGCCCACACAACAATTTTCCAGGGTTCTGAAACAGTTAGTGTTGCCTGTAACACATTCAGAGGCCCTGGATAACTGACTCAACTTGGTTCCTGAGCTCAAGCACTAGAATGTCAGTGGGCTCAAGGGGCATAATGCAAGTAAAAATGCTCTGAAAACTGCCAAGTTCTACAGAAATCCTAGATATTATTATAAGCAAAGAGCATTCATCTTAGATGGTTAGAGTAGATGTTCATCTTCCTAATCTTAAAACTCAGGGGAGAATAACTATACATTGGCACATCTGCTCACATCTGTCTGGGTTTATGCTGGGAGAAAATGTGTGATGTAAATAGCTCTTTTCTGGGCATTAAATGAAAATTCACTTTGGGTAGGAGGTCACGGTAGGACAGAAGCTGACACTTGGATCATTTATAAACTGGTCTATCTACAGAATTATTTTTAAAATTTTAAAATCATGCAAAATGAAAGAGCTAAAAGAACATTCTACCCATAGCAAATACTTCCCTAATTTCATTTTCGAATGGAAACTTCCTGACTCATTTAAATTTGCTGCTGTTTCAAATCTCTACATCCATTCCCCCGCCCTCTTTCCCTGCTGCTGTTCATCCATTCTGAGGAGGATAGTACCTAGCCATCTGCTTGCACATTCTGACAAAACTTAATTTGGCACATTTACTTTTTGCTGGCTTTTAGCTACAAAATGAACTAGCAGCAAAATGGCACCTACCAAAGAATGTCTCGATCATAATTACTGGGAGAAACTGTGACCAGCACAGGAGGGACAGTGAGACAGAAGACTGGCCATACTACATACCTGTGATAGCAAATATTCAAGCTATATTAATGCCAGTTATTGCAGCTTTCCATTACTATATGGCCACCCAAACTGGAACTCCATTCTACAATTTATTTAATTTGGAAAAATTTCAAGTGAAAATCTTAAAATTTAATATGAGTCCAATGTATCACACCAAGCATCATCTCACCGGAAATGTGTTTTCAATTGATTCAAAAATTTCATACTAACAAATAACCTGGCAAAATTGCAGAAAAGGATGAAAAGAATAGCTTGATAATACAATTCTGATAACAAAGTCTATAAATCTGAAAACATCCCTAGGAAAAGGCAAATAAACAGCCATTGCAATGGTTCGACAACTAGCCAACATAATGGGCAAAAAGGGGACATGGAAGACTGGGATGGTCTGTCCTTGGGGCTGTACTGTGCTCAATGATGAGCTCCAGCCAAGAGATGGCTGAGCCTGGGCAGACTTCCAGACCAAGCTGTACCCTGTCCTTGAGCAAGTCCACTGGCATATACACAAAGCCCAGCCTGAAAGATTTCAGAAGCAGCCAGAGTTTTGCCTTTAATAGGTGCTAAATCTAGTCAATTCTCTGTTGCTCCTTTCTTCCTGCCCCAAGTTAAAAATATTGCCCTGTTAAGTTTTCCTGATCTAGTATCTTGGAAGCACATGGTTAAGTTAATTGCCAAAGGGCAATTAACAAGAGTATTGCCTAATTAAACAAGAGAAAAGAAAAATCACTGTGGCCTATGGTCCCAAGGGGGTGAAAGTTGCTGCATGGGGATCTGGGTAAGGAGCTGGCATGCAGTGTTCTTAGAGCAGGGCTGGCCCCAGATGGAGGAAAGCGGACCAGGATATACCAGTCACTCCTGCCTCTATTTTCCTCTCTGTGGCTGTTCCACATGGCCAGCGGGGCCCAGGGACAGCACCCGGTACTACGTGAATGTTGATGCTTGAGCCAGCAGAGAGGTGCAGCACAGACTAGGCAAGTATGGGGTTAGTGAACAATTCCTTCAAATTCCACTTCATTTCCCTCAAAAACAAGCAAACAAAACCCCAGAACCCATACTTGAACAAAAGACAGAACTTGAAATAAAAGGTTAAAGAATTTAAAATCCCAACCCCCCTTCTCAAAGCCAATTGTTGAAAGTGTTCAGGGTTCCCCACCCCACCCTGCATTTCTTTAGTGTAGGTCCTTTTGGCTTTGATGGAAGCAGCAGAACCAGAGCTGGGTCCCTCGCAAATGGGAAATCGTTTATTTCCCCAAGTCGGAGCCACAGGGAGTGTAGGAGGTACTGTGGTTCCGACATCCATGCTGGGTCCCAGCTCCTTTGAAGAGCTATTCCAGGAGGTCCTGAAAGAGAGACAGGTACCATATTATTGGCAGATTTAAAACTTCCTATTTTGAAAGCAATCACCTAGTGTCTGAGTTTAGTAAATCCTGAAGTTACCAAGATATTGCTTGGAGATTATACCTTTGTTGGCTCCAAACATTTATAAAAACTTTTTTTTTTTTTTGGTCTGTCGTGGGGGCTTGAACTCTGGGCCTGAGCACTGTCCCTCAGCTCTTCAGCTCAAGGCGAGCTCTCTACCACTTGAGCCACAGCACCACCTCCCAAACATTTATTTATTTACATTTGTTTCAGTCGTGGGGCTTGAACTCAGGGCCTAGGTGCTGTCCCTGAGCTTTTGTGCTTAAGGTTAGTGCTCCATTACTTGAACCACAGCTCCACTTCTGGCTTTTTGGTAATTAATTGGAGATAAGAGTCTCACAGGCTTTTCTGTAGGTGATGGCTTCAAACCTTGACCCTCAGAAGTTGGCCTCCTGAGTAACTAGATTACAGGCATGAACTACCTCATAATATTTTGATCATAACTAGAAGAATAGCTTTTATTTTCCTATCTTTGGATGTCTCAAGAAGAAGCAGTCTTACCTCATCTGAGTCATCATGGTAGCCACTTTTATTAGCGTGGGAGGCTGTGTCCAAAGCATCCACCCCATCGGCCTCTGCGTGCTGCTGCAGCACAGAATATCGGTGCACCAGGAACCTGTGGGAAAACCTCTCTTAGCCCTCACTTGGTGAGTAGACTCATATCTTTTCTTTCTTTCTTTTTTTTTTTGTTGTTGGGGGGCTTGGACTCTGGGCCTGGGCGCTGTCCCTCAGCTCTTCTGCTCAAGGCTAGCGCTCTACCACTTGAGCCATAGTGTCACTTCTGGTTTTCTGATTGGTTTATTGGAGATAAGAGTCTCTCAGACTTTCCTGCCTGGGCTGTCTTTGAAGCACGATCATCAGATCTCAGTCTCCTGAGTACTAGGATGACAGGCATGAGCCACTGACACCCGGCCTTTTTTTTGTTTTTGCTTTTGTTGGCTGTGGGGCTTGAACTCTAGGTCTGGGCACTGTCCCTAAGCTCTTCAGCTCAAGGCTAGTGCTCTACCACTTTGAGCCACAGTGCCACTTCTGGTTTCCTGGTGGTTAACTGGAGATAAGAGTCTCATGGATTTTCCAGCCCCAGGATGGCTTTGAAACGTGATCCCCAGATCTCAGCCTCCTCAGTAGCTAGGATTATAGGCGCTGGTGCTTTTAAACTCGTGGAATGAGTCACAGACAGTACAGTTGACACACACAAAAAAAATACAAGCTATGAGAAGGTTTGAGCATGCTTTTTCTGAATTCTCTTACCTTCCACCACAGACATATTTCTTCACAATGAGCACTCCTGCGACAACCGTGACCAGCATTAATCCCACAATGGCCAGAATAATGGGAACAGAATTGGACTTGGAATTCTTGATAAAGTAAAAGAGAAACACAAAAGCTTTTAGGCATGGATATTCTAGGACTTCACTCAAAGTGGCTGTTCATTCCCCTCCTTTCTCTGAGTGATCTACAGTCCAAGCCATTTGATGATGGTACTTTTCTAACCCGCCAGGATGGACCATCTCAATGTTACCAGGAGACCATCACAGCTGGCAGAGGAAAATCTCAACTACAGCTGCCTGGAAACTGCGAGCACAGGGGTTTCAATGTCAAAGTTACACTGAAAGCCCTGGCAACTGCCTAGATAACACATGGTCACAGTGACTGTTCTATTCCCAGTTTACAAGTCTTGGAAGTTAGGGTGGAGTAGGAAAGGGAAACTAACAGTAGTAGGCTGAACTAATCTAGAACAGAGCTGTCATCTGGGAGGATGCGTGTGTCCATGCCATATCAGGGAGGCCACTATCTAGGACATCAAGATTTATGTTTTTACTTATTTTTTGGTATGATTTTGAAATAAGCCTTATCACATGATTGTTTGCGTGTAACCTACCTGGGTCTGGGTGGGAGATAGGAAGTGTGTGTTTTCAGTGTATCCAAGAGGAGGCGGAGCTGGATTCTGGGACAAGCTGTGTCCCTGTGGGCGGGAGTCCTGTGCAATCACACACACAAACACTCTAAGGACAACCACCAGCAGTCCAGGGCAGGGGTGCAGAGAAGGAGGAACTTTCCCCCTTACAAATACACACACCCACACACTCTTCTCCCATTGCCTCCTGAGTCCCACCCTTTGTCAGTCTCTCACCCCAAGAGAGAGGAGGTGACTACAGATTATCCTGCTCAGCCTTTCAAATTACAGACGGGAAACAGGGACTTCCAGCTTAGCTCCCTGAGTCACATTGCTGTCCCAGTGCTTTTACTTCTTTATTTTTTTTAAATCAAGAATAAATATCAATAGCTGGGCTCCGGTGGCTCACACCTGTAATCTTAGCTAATCAGGAGGCTGAGATCTGAGGATCGAGGTTTAAAGCCAGCCTGGGCAGGAAAGTCTATGAGACTCTTATCTCCAATAAACTACCAGAAAACTAGAAGTGGTGCTGTGGCTCAAACGGTAGAGAGCTCACCTTGAGCTGAAGAGCACAGGGATAGCACCCAGGCCTAGTTCAAGCCCACGACCAAAAAAAAAAAAAAAAGAAAATATCAAGAAGTTTCCTTTTCTCCAAACCCCAACCACATAGTTCAGTTCCATAGTTTTGTAATTAGCTTTATAAGTTGCCTCTATACCAAAGCATCCCACTGCACCACAGATCAGGTTTCCATTGTGAACACCTTTGCCATGACTTAGTACAAAAATCCACCCTATACTGTACAATGCTCTTACCAGCACTCTGGGTCATGGTGCTTCTTTTTGTTATACATTTAAATTTTTCAGCCAATATGTAATATTTATACATAGGAATAGAGTACAGTGTGATATTTCAATGTATACACATGCATCATACACTGATGGCCAACCTTCTTGAGTGTTTTACCTAAATGGCTCTGAAGTTCAGGAATTTCTACAACTCTGCTACTAGGATTTTTACAGTCCTACAGAATACTAGTTATCCCCACCAAGAAAGAGCTTTTTATGAGATGAGCTTATTGGGTCATGCCATGAGTCCTTCACCCTAATAGTTTCCTGTGTACAGGTAAGCTGACTGAAGTATAATTTTGATCTTTTCTGACAGAACATGAAATCCCACTTGTACCTAAAATCTAGATCTGTTTGAACATACCTGCTTTTGGGGATTCAAAAAGTTGCTTGTACATTTCTTTTTCAAGTCCTTTACTTCTCTAGCTGGATTCATCCCACCTTGGCATCTGTCTCCTGGAATTTTCCGGTATCTGAAAGGCAGAAGAGAAAGTTTGTTTACAGGGGTTTGTACTTCCTGGTAGTGGCTGTATTGCTTTCTGAGAAAGGTGTGCAGTTTGTGCTCAGAGCTGCTGGGCTGTGGTAAAATCCCTTGGGGCACCTGGTAGAGGCAGGATGGCCAAACCTGAACCAAGGCCAGAATGGCAGTAGCAATAGAGTAACCACATCTGCTGCAGGAATTGTAGGCCAGTGTAATTTGATAAGCCATGGAAAATATGGAGCCTCAAGGAAAACAAGTTTCTCAAAGTCTACCAAGTCTTTTTTCAGCAGTGGCTATGACAGAGAGGAATTGGAATCTAAAATGACAAATGGGACACAACAAGGACATCTCACCCATTTGTTGTCAGATGTTCTTCTCTTCCATACAGACAAAACTCTAGGTCATGCCCCTTGAGTTCTGGCTGTTCCACACACTCTGAATCATTTTCTGGACGGAAGTAGCCAAAATCACTGCAAGAGTCAACATTAAGACAGTTTTCAAAGTGTTGGAGAGACAGTAAATGACTAGCTATGATGGGTTTATGTGGAGTAATGAATTCTTAATATTCTAGTCTAAAACTCAATTTCTTTTTTTGGACATGAAACATCCTTCTTGGTGTTTTATCTTGCCATTTTCTATCATTTTCTCCCCTCTTCCTTGTTTATATACCTTTACTATTGCTAAGTCAAGATTGCTGGGGCTGGTTGCTGGCTCTGTCCAATGGTTAACTGGTTAACTGTCTGGTTTGATTATACTGTCTGCCCAATTATTAAGGTTTGGTTCTCTTTCTGTGTCTCAATTTCCTTGATAAGAAGCAGCACTCTCACTTCTTACTGAGAAGGATTTCAATATTGTTTTTTGTTTGTTTATCTCTATAAGGTATCAGTCTTTTGCTTTCTCTTAGACAGGACAGGGGTTTTTGGGGGGATCTCGGGCAATATAGGTACCAAAGGAAATCCTCCAGGGTACAGTGACAGATGGATGGCTGCCTGGTTACAACGTAGTCTCGACCATTCTGACAGATGGATGACTTGCGTAGCCTCAGGTACTGCTCTTTATAGCCCAAGATGCAGCCATCTTCATGATCTCCAGGGTCTGTAGAGTGTGCCAGCCATACAGTGTAGTCTTCTTCTTCACCTAAAGGACAGATACACTGTTCAGAAGCTGTGCAGCACACATCCCACCACAGGAGGCAGCTGCCAGGCTGTAGGAGGAATGAGGGGAGGGAAGACCGGAATGTGTGACTTGATCTATTGCTCGAATGTGGAACTGCAAACAAAAAAGTGGCATTATTCTAGAGCCTACCAGTAATTGCATTCCTTTGTGCCAAAGGAGGGTTCTTGCCATTGTATTATTCTATATTAGCAAAAACTTCACTTGTTTTGAAGTAGAAAGCTGCAAAGGGGGTTCTAGTTTCTTCCAAAGTGAGACACTGCTGTCTGTCTTACTTTACCCATGCCCTCCATCCAGAGCAACTGGCAATTCCTACTTCAGAGAATCTTTGCTTAGAAGAAAATACTAATTACTCAGGAGCATTAAGTTCAATTTCCCATGTCTTAATTTGCTTTAAACAGAAGGGACAACAGCCTCTTTTGGATTGATGATGACAACATTCTCTGGCTCAATATATCCTTTTATCCTTTCATTCACTCCTGGAAAACCTACTCAGAAACTATGACTTAAAGACTGGGGATTAGTTTTTTATCCTTCAGGATATGAAGACCAGCCACAGAGCCAGCTAGAGAGCAGGTGCTTAACAAATCTTTTAATGATGTTAAAAAAATTTTAGAGATAACTGTAGAACTGCCTGCTGAGGGGAAAACTCCAGCCAGTTTTTCTTAATAGCTTCTTTAATGACTTTAGATGACAATAGGCTTCAGTTTTAAAACTGTATTTAAGCATCTTGTAAAAAAAAAAAAGTAAGGTCCTAAACAAGAGCTCTGCTTCTTCGGGAGTCACTGAACTAACTGAGGAAAGGGACCAACATTCAACAAAAACATCTAGGAACTTTAAGTCTTTGGTTGTATCCCACCAATGTGTGAACAAGGTCCCTCTTTCTCCAGTGTTTTCTTTTGTGCTTCACTTTTTTCAGTGTAATGTCAGCATCTTTGGCAAAGAGTCTGGGTTTGCTTTTGACCACTCTCTGTACATTGTCAGCCTCTTTCTGAAGCCATTTTCTGGGCCTCTTCATGTCTTCTAGTGTGAAGTCACACCACTTTGAAGAAATCATTGTGAACTTCATTCTTGCCCAGCGGTTGTGACTGACAGTCAAGCTAAAACTTCAACATTTTGAGAGGTGACACAATCAACACTTTCCCCTCTTTACAGTCCACTACATTTGTCTAGACCCCTGAAATGTCAAAATAATTTTAGACAAGAATACACATGTACTGTTCCTGTAAGGCAGAAAAAAAGTCTTATAAAGGTACAAGAGATCTTTCTACCATTGTGAGAGCTATACTGTCCTATCAGGTAGCTCTAAGCCACAGCTACTTCGGGCTGAGAGTTGCTCTAAGTATTAAGCCTATACCAGATTTCATAGACAGAAAACAAAATGTGAAATATTTCAACAATCTTGTCTTAATGTTTACATGTTTTAGTTATAGGAAAATAGAAATCTGTCAATAAAATGGATTTCACCTTTCTTTTTACTTTTATAATGTACTTGACAGGATGATTTATTTTATGTATATAGCCCTCATATTTCTCTTCACAGTGCTAGTTCTAAGAAAATCAGCTGTTCTGATTCCACTGCTTGATCATATGCACAAACACCTTCCAACCTCAACCCTTTTTTTTTTTTTGGCCAGTCCTGGGGCTTAATTCAGGGCCTGGGCACTGTCCCTGAGCCTCTCTATGCTCAAGGCTAGTGCTCTACCACTTGAGCTATAGTGGTACTTCTGGCTTTTCTGTTTATGTGGTACTGAGGAATGGAACCCAAGGCTTCATACCTGCTAGGCAAGCACTCTACCACTAAGCCAACTTCCCTGCCCCTCAACCTCTTTTTATATGCATATATGTTTATCCCAGCTAAAGGGGATTAAACTGGATGGATTATTAGGGAAGAAGAGTCTTAGAAAATTCCAGGGGAGATACTCACAATTCCTTTCAAGAATATCTTTAAAGTCAATGGTGTAGGAGACCCATTGGCGGGTGAGGAAAGATTCTGTGAAGCCCCAAATGCTGATATTCATGGACCTGGCTCCAGGTTCCGATGCTAGACCAGTGAAATAGATGGGTTCCCTGGTGAATGTGTAGGTTTGCCAGCACTGACCTTCATCTGTGGAGAACCTGAAAAACCATTAAAGAAAGATCATGACAGACGACTAATGTACTGGGAATATCAGGAAAGCACTATGGCTGTTTGGTCCCCAACACGAGAAAACCCTGTATTTAGGTCGTGATTTACTTGCTGACCATTATTTTAATTAAATATTATTATTAATATTAATTTTTGGTGCCAGTCCTGGGGCTTGAAATCCAGGCCTGGATGCTGTTTCTGAGCTTTTGTGCTAAAGGCTAGTGCTCTACCACTTAAACAGCAGCTCCACTTACAGCTGCTTTTAGTAGCTAATTGGAGATAAGAATCTTATCGAATTTCTTGCCTGGGCTGGTTTTGAACCACAATCCTCAGAACTAAACCTCTTAAATAGCTAGGATTACAGGTATGAGCCACTGACACTCAGCTCTTTTATTATTATTATTATTTTTGTTATTGTGGGCCATGAACTCAGGGCCTACACTCTGTCCCTTAGTCTCACAGGGATTTTTCTGCAGCTCTCAGATCTCAGCTTCCTGAGTAGCTAGGAGTAGAGGTGTGAGCCACTGGCACTTGGCCTATTTTAATTTTTAAAGTATTTCATTGTGATGTGTCTATGTGTGCATATAGTGTGCTCTGATCAAATTCACCCTTATATTACTCTTTCCCCCACCTCTCCTTTTTATTCATTTATATCCTTTATTCATTTATTCATAAGTTTTTGATAGTTCTCTGTTCTATTTTTATATATGCATATAAAATGCTTTGAGCATATTAGTTAACAAAGCAGGGGAAAAGGTACATTTATAGAAAACATGGATGTAAATACCTTTATAAAATTTATTTTAAAGAAAAGAAAAGGTAGTACACTGACTCAAGTAAGAATGGGCTTCTAAACTTTCTAAAAATTATCTTCAAGTAGTTGTACAAAGGGGTTTCAGTTTAACATGCCTATTTCTATGTACAATGCATCATAATCAATGTTACTCTATCATTCTTTCCCAGGATTCTAAATTAATAAACTCAAATTACATGATAAAAACTTGTACGTAAGTAATTTCGAATCTAGAGTGCTTGACCATTTCTGTAATATTTTTGTTGAGAAAAATATTTTTTAAATGTGATAAAACTTGTTAGCTAGAAGGGGTCAGAGGGGAAAGCAACCCATTTATTTCAAGTTGCTCTAAACACAATCACTTCCAGCACTTTCCCTTCAGCTCAGCAGACTGCAAAAATCTGAAACAGGGTCTGGCTTTCTCATCAGACAAAGAATATTCCCAGGGCTGCCCTCTATGTAGGTATGCGTGGGGAGCTGAGCTCATGCATACTTAATCACATTGATAGGATGGCTGCTGTGCTCGATGGCCACAATGATGCCTCCAGAATCCAGGATGGTATAGTGGTGGGGTCCTTCCAGCATCTTTGTCCAGGAGTAACCCCCATCATCTGAGATGTAAACATCTGGGACCATCACTGAGATGGCATCCCCAACACTACCTGCAATATAAAGCACCAACTCATCAGCACACCCTGACAATGAAAGAGAGAGGATTTACTGACAGAATAATTCTGATTATTGCTCATCAGGTCTTTGACAGTAGAACTAGAGACCACAAGGAAGAAGTCACTTCACTCTCCTAGGTAGAAGTCTATTTAAAAATCAAAGCAAGATGGGAGCCTGTGGCCATACCTGTAATCCTAGTTACTCAGGAGGCTGTGAGCTGAGGATTGTGGTTTGAAGCCAGCCTGGGCAGAAAAGCCCTTGAGACTTTTTAATCTCCAATTAAAAAAAAAAGTGTGTGTGGGGGGGGGGGGGGGGTGGAACTGGGCTGTGGCTCAAGTGGTAGAGTGCTAGCCTTGAGCACAAAAGCTCAGGCACAGTACCCAAGCCCTGACTTTAAGCCCCAGGACCAGCACCAAAAATAAATAAATAAATAAATAAACTCAAGCATTGTTATAGTGCAGGAAATTTCTACTAGGGGTTAAAGACATGGCTCAGTTGGTAGAGTGCTAGCCAATGAGCAAAAGTGTCAGGTACCTATTTTGAGTCCTGGTTTCGGACTAAAAAACAAAAACATTCTACTAAAGAAATACAAGGGCCATTTGCAGTGATTTTTCTCACAGGCTATGCTGAGTTTCTATGTGCTCAGCTACTTCTGTCCATGGTGGCGGGAGGGAGGGTGCTTACCGTGAGCGATGACTATGCCCACAGCATTAGGTTCTGAGAGTGGAGCCATTGGAACATTCAGTTTTTGGGAGATGCTGTAAGAAGCATGAATATGAAGGCTACACTGTGAAGAGAAATCAAAGCTCAGATTAAAACCAAAGGCACAATGTCCCTACTCATTTCACAGAACCCCCAACACTTGGAACTTGACCCAGACTTCAGTGGAGGTAATCTGATTTTTAAATTGTAGAAAAGTATGTACTTCAAAAAAATTATCATTTTAGGGCTGGAAAGGTGTCTCAGTGGTAGGTAGAGCCTTGCATGCCTGAGGCCCTGGGTTCGATTCCTCAGCACCACATAAGCAAAAAGAAAAAAGCCGGAAGTGGCGCTGTGGCTCAAGTGGTAGAGTGCTAGCCTTGAGCTGAAGAGCTGAGGGACAGCGCCCAGGCCCAGAGTTCAGGCCCCAGGACCAGACCCCCCCAAAAAACAATGATCACTTTAGCTTTTAAAGTATATATTTCATGAGTACTAAGATTATTCTTTAATTTTTTTCTTTTATTGTTATTTAAAAGGTGATGTACAGAGGGATTACGGTTAAATCAAATAAAGAATACATTTCTTTTTGGACAATGTCACACCTTCCCTCACACAGTATATTCTTTTTAAAGAACATTTAATAATCTTGCAAAACTGAAATTATTACCCTTTAAGCAACAAGTCCTACTTCTGCCTCCCGATAGCCTTAGCAATCACTGTTCTAATTTCCATTTTTCTACTGACTACTCGAGGTACCTCATATATATGAAATCATACAGTATACATTTTGTGGCAGGTTCATTTCACTTAGCCTTTTCTGAAGGGTCATCTCTATTGTTAGTGTATGCTAGAATTTTCTTTTTTTGTCAGTTGTGGGTCTTGAACTCTGGGTCCGGACGCTATCCCCGAGCTCTTTAGCTCAAGGCCAGTGCTCTACCACTCAAGCCATAGCATCACTTCCAATTTTCTGGTGGTTAAGTGGAGATAAAAGTCTCATAGACTTTCCTGTCTGGGATAGCTTTGAACCACGATCTTCAGATCTCAGTCTCCTGAGTAGCTAGTATTATAGGCATGAGTCACTGGCATCTGGCTCAGAATTTCCTCTCCTTTAAAGATTGGATAATATTCCATTGTGTGGCATTGGAACTAAGAAGTGAATTTAGTAAAGTACCAGTATACAAAATCAACATACAAAAATATACACTAGCAACTTCATATACAAAAAAGAAACAAAGTATTACTCACTAACACCCACTTATAATAGCATAAAAAAGATTAATGGCAAAAGCAAGAGGAGGGATGGTAGGATGAAAAGTACATTGACCAGTGGTACTAAGTTATAGTGAAAAAAATCCTGGCATGCTTTTGCACAGTAGAGTAACAATGATAATATTCTGCGTGGTTCCAAAAGCTAGAATAAAATTTGAATTTTTTTCATAAAGAAATAATAATGCTTGAGATCACAGATAGGTTTACTATGATTAGAACATTACACAATATATACAAGTATTCAAATGTTATATTGTATGCCATATACATGTACTAATTCTATGTATCTATTAAAACTTTTGATTAGAAAATAATGCTCTGAAGCTCAGCACAGTGGCTCATGCCCGTAATCCTAGCTCCTAGGAAATACTCAGTAAGCGGAGATGTAAAGAATTGTGTTTCCAGGGCTGGGAAGGTGGCTCAGTGGTAGAGCGCTTGCCTTGCATGCCTGAGGCCCTGGGTTTGATTCCTCAGCACCACATAAGCAAAAAGAAAAAAGCCGGAAGTGGCGCTGTGGCTCAAGTGGTAGAGCGCTAGCCTTGAGCTGAAGAGCTGAGAGACAGCACCCAGGCCCAGAGTTCAGGCCCCACAACTGGACCAAAAAAAAAAAAAAAAAAAATTATGTTTCCAGACTAGCCAAGCAAAAAGTTCATGAGATACCAGCTCAACAAATAGCTGGATAGGAGGGTGTGCACTGGTCATTCCAACTTCACATGGAAGTATAACTAGGAGGGTCACAGCCCAGATTGGCTCAAATATAAGCATGAGAGCCTATTAGAAAAATTACAAAAGCAAGTGGTAGAGTGCCTGTCTGGCAAATGCAAGGCCTTGAGTTCAAACTCTAATACTGACTAAATAGATAAATTAATTAATAATAAAATAATAAATTTATTTCTAAAAATAAATTTATTTTGGGTAAATACTGAGAAATGACTAAAGGCATAGCTCAAATGGTACAGTGCTGGCTTTGAGCATAAAAGCCCAGGAACAGTGTCAAAGCACTGAGTTCAAGACCAAGGACCAGCACCTCCCCCCAAAAAATATTGAAACAGCAACCTACAGAACAGGACAAAATATTAACAAAGTAATTCAGTTTAAAAATGCACAAGGGCCAGGCACCAGTGGCTCACACCTGTAATCCTAGCTACACATGAGGCTGAGATCTGAGGATTGTGGTTCAAAGCCAGCCCAGGCAGGAAGATCCATAAAACTTCAATTAACCACCAGAAAATTGGAAGTGGTGTGGCTCAAATGGTAGAGCACTCACCTTGAGTTGAAGAGCTCAGGGACAGTGCCCAGGCCCAGATTTTAAGCCCCATAATCAACCAACAACAACAAAAAAATGCATAAGGATGTGAATAGCCATTTTTCAAAAGACATATACTAGCCAGAGGGCATATGAAAAACAAATGCTCTCATTATAACTAATCATGAGGGGAATGAGAGTGAAAAATCACAATACCATATCTGCTAGAATAGCTGTTAACCAGAAGGCAAAATGTAAGTGTTGAACATGTGAAGAAAAGGGAACTTTTTTGGGGGGGTTTGAACTCAGGGTTTTAGTACTTACTAAGCAGGTACTTTACCACTTGAGCCATGCCTCTAGTCACTCTCAGTATTTTCCCAAAGGAAAGGAGATCAGAATCTCAAAGAAATATCTGTACTCCCCTGTTCATTGCAGGTTAACTCATAAGAGCCAAAATACAGACTCAATCTAGCTATCTTTTGATAGATGCATGGATGAATGGATAAAGAAAATGTGATACATATACACAATGAGCTATTATTCAGCCTTAATAAAAAGAATTCCTGACATTTGCATCTATATGGGACATTATGGTAAATAAGCCAGGCTCAGAAAGACAAATACTGTGTGATCTCATTTATATGTGAAATTTTAAAAAAGAAGAGAAGAGTGAGTAGATGTTGGTCAAAGATTATGAAGTTTCAGTTATGCAGGAGGAAAAAATTCTGGGAAGCTAAAATCAAGATGGAGAAGACTATGGTCTATAAAACTGCATTGCATGTTTGAAATTTTTTTTGCTGAGAGTAGCTCCTAAATATTCTCACCTCTCACACAATTAAAAGGTAACTGTGAGGTTATATTAATTAGTTTGATCCTGGCACTCATTTTACAATGTATACATATAGCAAAACACCACATTGTACATTATAAATAAAGACCATTTTAATTTATCAATTATACTTTAATAAAGCTGATTAGAAAATAAATGTCAGAAAGCAGTTGAGGTACAAAGCAGGACAAAAGTTAGTGTTCTCAAATGGTAAATACGTTATGTATATTTTACTATATCAAAAAGTTCGAATTAAGGAAATGAAGAAAAGTGATTACTAGTTCTAACTGGCTGGGTACAGAGGAGGGTTACAATTTCCATCAACTCTAATTTTTCAGGGTTTGGGGTACAACTTCAACCAGGGCCACTGACAGGGAAGGTACATGCAGCATGTTTAAGGAATAGCAGTGGTTTCAACCGGTAACAATAAAAAGATGAGAAGGGGGAGGCCCAGCCTTGATTCACAGGCAAAGAGCAACCACAGACTCTTTCTTAGGAGGAATCAAGCATGAAAGCCTGAGGTGGCAAAGCAAAAAAAGAGGCTTCTATCTGCCCCTGGTAAAGCAAGGAGAGTCGACGAAAGACCAGGAGGAAAGGGAAGAGGGTCAAGAAGGAGGAAGCAGACTCAGTAGCACTCAGAGGAGGAGGGTGAGTGGGGAGTTATTTCACAACATCTAAGGCTCTTAAGCAGAAACTCCAGGCTAGAAAAGTAGAATCCTTGTCAGCAGGGTATGAGGATTGCTCAGGAACTACTTGCATTCCACATGTTCACTGTTAAAGGGAACTCCCAGTATTCCCCTGGGCTCATCTTAAACTCTGTGAAGAGCCAGAAGAGCTAGATACAAAGCTTGTCCATTTCCTTTTCTCTTGTCTGTCAAGGCCTGTCACTTCTGGAATCTAGGCTCTCTGGGAGCGGCTATTTGTGTGTCTAGTTCCCAGACCCTCCTCAGAGGGGCCTGGTCTGCCTTCCCAAGTACCAGCAACATTACTACTCAGGAGCTACATGAGTCAGGCAGAGGGGAAAGAAGACTGGATGCTCTGGCCAGCACTGCTATGGACAGCTGCATCTTGGCTCCCTGCAAGTTTTTTTAGTCTTATCACTGCCATATTGATCCTTAACTAATAATCAGCACATCTACCCATTCTTTTTCCAACCAGAAGTTAGCCCTTAGTTTTGTTCTTTTTTTTTTTTTTTTTTGAGACAAGTAATCCATAGTATCTTGACCTTTCCACACAGTTCCTATTTCCCAAATTCTAAATGAACTTTTCCATTTCCAAATCTTCCATCTGAAGCTGTAGACCTAATTTAGTAAGACTGAACTATTCAAAAGCCTGGACCAGGCTGGAGCAGAGAAGACTGGCTGTTTTTCTACACACACACACAAATGGATAACAGATGCAAACCAACCTCATTCTTGTTCTTTGCTGTAGCATCACATTCGCTGTTCTCAGGCTTCCTCAGGTGCTTCCACCTTCCTCCCTGATCAAAAGTGATCATGGTCTGGATAGAATTATCTGAGTGGGAAAAGAATGACCATAAGCCCAGTACACTAGAGGCACCCAATTAAAGACACTTTAATTCTCTCTGTAGGCATTTTAACACTGGATAAAATGGTTCAGGGTTTGGTGAGTAACTGAGCAACACTTGAAATATGAGATCTGAAGAAAATGCTAACAATATGTTTTATGATATAGTTTAGATCTCTTTTCTTTTCTTTTTCTTTTTTCCTTTTTTTTTTTTTTGCCGGTCATGGAGCCTGAACTCTGGGTCTGGGCGCTGTCCCTCAGCTCTTCAGCTCAAGGCTAGTGCTCTACCACTGGAGCCACAGCGCCACTTCCAGCTTTTTCTGTTTATGTGGTACTGAGGAATCGAACCCAGGGCCTCATGCTTGCAAGGCATGCACTCTACCGCTGAGCTACCTTCCCAGCCCTCTTTTTTCCTTTTTTGTCAGTTGTAGAGCTTGAACTCTGGGCCTGGGTACTGTCCCTCAGCTTCTTCAGCTCAAGGCTAGCACTCTACCACTTGAGCCACAGTGCCACTTCGGCTTTTTTCTTTTTGCTTATGTGGTGCTGAGGAATCGAACCCAGGGCCTCGAGAATGCAAGGCAAGCGCTCTACCACTGAGCCACCTTCCCAGCCCCTCAGGCTGGCTTTGAACCACACAGTTTAGATCTTAAATGTCCCCTCTATTGTGTTAAAAGCTTGGTTGCTAGTCTGTGACACTACTGGGAAGTGATGGAATCTTTAAGAGGTGAGACTTACTGGAAAGAGGTTGCATCATCAGAAGCCATGACCTTAAAGCTGGTATTGGGGATTCATTTTCTTTTCATCTTTGAGGTGAAGGGCTTCTTCTACCATACATTCTCCCAAACAGTAGGAATAACCATCCATAGACTGAAACTTTCAGAACTGAACCAAAGCAAACCTTTTCTCTTTAAAAGCTGACTACCCCGGTTATTACAGTAACAGAAAACCAGTACATTTCCACATTTCCATTCAACACAAATAGGTTGGTGTTCATTTGCTTTCCTTGTTTGATGCCTCTGAGGGAAATCTACCACAGGAAGGCATATTAATCTTTATTTGGCCAAGGCCATGACACCAGGCTTGCTTTAGAGACCCTCATAATTTGAATATGTGTGCTTAAGCATGAATAAATATTTCCTAATTATTGTTTCTCCACTACCCCATATCTTATATAACTTTTCCTTTTTCTCCCTTATGTCTCATCTCTCTGTTTTCCTTCTCATCTCTCTGTCTCATTCTCTGTCTTCAATGATATAAACTATTACAGGCTTAGGGTTAGAGATAATATGCTTTTAGTTTTCAAAGTAATACCAAATAAAAAAGCAAGTGAAAATTCACTTATTCAACAAACATTTATTGAGGGTCCGCTATGTAGAAAAACTTTTGTAGGCCTTTGAGAATATATCAGTGAATACAACAGATTAAAATAAATTCATAAAATATATATTGCAGAAGGCAAGAGAAGCATTAGACATAGTAAATAAGTAAATTATATAGTATGTTAGAAAACAAGTTCTATGGAAAAATCTTGTGCATCTAAAGGTGGATTGGGAGTGTATATATGAGGAGAGGAGGGAAGATTGGAATTGAAAATAAGATAGCCAGGGTGGATCTCATTCAGAAAGTAACACATGAGCAGAGGCTTGAAGGAGGAAACACTCAGCTTAAAGAAAACAGATGGAAATGTCAGTGCAGATACATAATGAATGAATATATGTACCTAGTATGTACTAATGAATGAATATATGTACCTGGACTGGCAAGGGGTTAGTGTTAGTGGCAAGAGTGAATGAAAGAAGACTTGAAGAGGAGGTCAGAGAGGAAAAAGCTAGCCAGTGTCATGTAGGACTCTGTAGGCAATTACAAGGAATTGACAAAATAAAAAGTCCTCACCTCCTACCAAAATAACAAATATATCAACATTTAAGAGTCCTTGCATTTGGGAGTAATGTATTTGTTTGCAAATTTGAGCCTTACTAGCATGAGCTTGTAGCTTCATTATGTAGAAAATTAGATAAATTTTGGCCAGCCCTTGCTATGCCCTCTGTAAGAAGAAAAGTAGCTCAAATTCAGATTGCCTGCTGCCTGCCTGCCTCCCTCCCTTTCTTCCTGCCTTCCTTCCTTCCTTCTTCCCCCCACCCTCAGTCTCTTTCTGTGTATGTATGCATGCTCACATGCACACGCGTGCATGTATGTGAGTACTAGGGTTTGAACTCAGGGCCTTGGTACTGTCCCTTAGCTTTTTTGCTCAAGGCTAATACTCTACCACTTGAACCACAGCTCTCCACTTCTCTCTTTTTAGAAGTTACTTGGACATAAGAATCTCATGGACTTTCCTGCCTAGGCTGGCGTTGAACAATAATTTTCAGACCTCAGCCTCCTGAGTAGCTAAGATTACAGGTGTGAGTCACTGGTGCCTGGCTTTCAGACTCATTTCAATGTGTCTGAACCTTCCACTATAGAGGTTCAGGCATATAGAAATGAGCCTGTTGCTATGTATCTTAACAATATAGATTTTTGTATCCACTGTTGCTTTGCTCTATGGTTAATTGCCATAACTTAAATATAGGGAGCCAGAATTTATATATGTAGGCAAAGCAAACACTTTTCTATGGGCCAAGACCCTAGGAGCCAAGAACTCATCAGGTTCCTTGGAGGCCTCAAATCCTAACACACTGAACTTAAAGAGCAAGGCAGATGAATGGTCATGACAAGCCTTACCTTCTGAAAGCATGCTTGTTATATAGACCCCACGGAGGGAAGTCACATTGGTAAAGTCAGTCTCTCCCCCTGTGGTTGTATAGAGATGTCTGTCCAAAGACTTGGAGTAGACAATGCCTCGATCATCAGAGGTAAAGATAGTGCCAAATCCAGTGTCTAAAACATGCAAACAAATAAAAACAGTAAGTCTCAATAGGAACGATAGCGTAGCCAAACAAGTGATTTTGCCTAACTGGCCTAGCACATTCACCAATTGTTTCTCCAGATGAAAATTAAGACTTGAGAGTTCATCAAAATTTTCAAAACCCATCTTTACTTATAGTACCCAGCTTAGTGCCTGGAATATGGGAGATGCTGAGTTTGTTGGATGACTTAACCACATGCCAGAGAAAATACATTTCTCAATCTTGTACTTTAGTTTCTCAAGCTATTTATAGTGAAGAATCTTGTGTGTGTGTGTATGTGTGCACACATGTGTGCATGTGTGTGCATGTGCACACTAACACTGGGGCTTGAACTCAGGAACTCATGCTTTCACTTGGAATTTTCAAGGACTCAGTGGTCTCACTTGGATTTTCATTCAAGGCTGGTATTTTACCACTTTAGCCACAGTTCCAACTTCCATGTTTTCACTGGTTAATTAGAGGTAAGAGTCTTTAAGAGTTATCTGCTCAGGCTGGCTTTGAACTATAATCCTCAGATCTCAGCCTCCTGCACCACTAGGATTACAAGTGTGAGCCACAGGTGCCTGGCTAGGATCAATTTTTAAATTTCCAGTATGTCAGAACAGATGCTTTCATAAAATGTAATAAAAACTAGTAGAAAAATAAAATAGACATGCCAGGTATGGTGCCTACTTGAAGTCCTAGCTATTCTAATAGACAGGAGGATCATGGGTTCAAAGTGGCCCTGGCAAGGTTATTATGATCCTATCTCAAAAACAAAATATAAAATGAAAGGACTGGTGGCATGGTATAAGTGGTAGAGTGTTTACCAACAAGCTAGAGGTTCCAAAACAAATAAAAAAGGGTGTGGCTCAAGTCATAGGGCTTGTCTAGCAAGTATGGCCAAAAGGAAAAAAAAAAGAGATAAATATAAGACAGTGTCCTTAGATTCAACATATATAAAATTACTTTGTCAAACAGTGTATGAGTTTTTTTAAAGCCTAGTCTGTTGGTGCATGTCTTATTCCAGAACTAGAGAGCTGATACAGGAGGATCTCAAGTTCAAGGCTAGCTTGGGCTACACAGTCAGAGCCAGTCTCAAAAACAAAACAAAAATAGTTTCTAAATCTTTCCTTACTTATTTGGTAACAATGAGTTTGCAAATTTCTACCAGTCTGATGACTACTCTGAGCAGCTCTGATTTAGAATATGTGAACATATTCATAACTACTGTAGACTATGAAAGTGGGAGGGCCTCAAAAGTTGGTCAAAGCTAGTCTTGACTTCATGATTTTACTGTCCCAGCCTACCAAGTGCTGGGATTACAGGTGTTAGTCACTAGGCCTGGATCAGATGAACTTCTATTATCTCAGAGTAATTAGAAGGATGTTAAACAATTTCTAGAGTTAAGAGGAAAAGTTAACATATAAAAAGACAAGTTTCTCAGAGCATTACTCAAAGCTTAAATATTTATGCATTTGAGGATGGACTCTTACCCCCGGGTTCATCTACATGCATGAATACCATGTCATCATTAGCTGCCAGAATAGAATAGAATTGCTCCTGCCCCACAGAGGGGAGCTGGGCCATGCTCCATGTGTCCCCTTGATCTGTTGACACGTGGATCCTTCTTGTTGTATCCTGAAATAAATATGCCATATATCTTATCTATCTATCTTTATAACCTTCTGTTAAGATGCCATGTACAGGAACAGCATTTTTAATAGTTACTGTTTATTCTTCAGTGGGTACAATCGTAATAAAAGATCATAGTGCCAATTACCAAAGCAATTTCTAACCCCTTCCAGGCAACAGAAGATCGAATTCTATTCTAAGTAAAATTACCTTGTTTGTTTGTTTTTTTCCTCTTTGACTCTTTCCTTCTGGTATGATCCTCCCAATCTCTGATAATCATCTCTTTCAAGAGAGTTAAGGATTTGATTGGACCACCATTAGCTTTGCTTTATAGTTATTTGTATATTCTTTTCTCTTTCTTTCTCTCTCTCTCTCTTGTTTTTTAAATGTCAGTCGTGGGGCTTGAACTCAGGCCTGGATGCTGAACTCCTTTGTTCAAGGCTAGTGCTCTACCACTTTGAGCCATACCACCACTTCCAGTTTTCTAGTGGTTAACTGCAGATAAAAGTCTCATGCACTACTAAGCTAGAAAGACAACCAACTAATTGGGAAAAAATATTTACCAGCAATATATCAGACAAGGGGTTAACATCCTATATATACAGGGAACTCAAGAAACTAATCCCTCCCAAACCTAACAAACCAATTACTAAATGGGCAAGGGAACTAAAGAGGGACTTCTCAAATGAAGAAATAAAAATGGCAAAGAAACACATGAGGAAATGTTCATCATCCCTGGTGGTGAAGGAAATGCAAATAAAGACAACCCTGAGATACCACCTTACCCCAGTCAGAATGTCCCACATCCACAAATCAGCCAACAACAAATGCTGGAGGGGATGTGGAGAAAGAGGAACCCTATTACACTGCTGGTGGGAATGTACACTTATACAACCACTTTGGAAAGCAGTCTGGAGGGTCCTTAGAAAGCTAAAGATTGACCTCCCTTACGACCCAGTCATACCACTTCTAGGCATCTACCGTGAACAACAGGAACCAATATACAAGGACACGTGCACCTCCATGTTTATTGCAGCACTGTTCACAATAACTAGGATATGGAAACAACCCAGATGCCCCACCACAGATGAATGGATCCAAAAATTGTGGTATCTGGAATATTATGCAGCCATTAGAAATGACAAAATAATGGCATTTGCAGGGAAATGGATGGAGCTAGAAGGAATCATGTTGAGCGAGGTAAGCCAAGAGCGAAGAGACAAACGGTACATGGTCTCCCTGATAAGTGGATGCTAAATCCAAAATGTTAGGTGATACGACAAAACTAACAGGACTTAAGAAACAAAGAACTCCCACTCATCTGGTCGAACCACTACCAAATATCCCCATGCTGCTGATTGTATGTATGGTGTATAACATGTGAACACCGTTATATGTTACAGACTGTGATAGACAATTTGCTCCAGGAAAGTTAGAATGAACTTGTGACTTTAAATGAGCATCATTATTCCACAATACTGTGAAATTCCGGAAATTATGTAATCACTTAATCACAATAAAAAAAAAAGAACCTCGGGGAAGGTAGGGAGGGAAGGGATGGTAGAGGGAAAACAATGGAGGGGGTAACAATGTTCAAGAGGAAGTGTACTCATTACCTCACTCATGTAACTGTAACCCTCTGTATAGTATCTTTACAATATAAAAAAAAATCTTTATATAAAAAAAAAAGAAATGTACTCATTATCTTGCCCATGTAATTGTAACCCCTCTGTACAGTATTTTCACAATTAAAAAAAAAGTCTCATGCACTTTACTGCCTGGGCTGACTTTAAACCTTGATACTCAGATCTTAGCCTCTTGAGTAGATAGATTACAGGTATGAGCTACCAGTGCTTGGCTACTCCGTGTGTGTGTGTGTGTGTGTGTGTGTGTGTGTGTGTGTGTGTGTGTGTGTGTATTTTTGTTTTTTAATTACCAGTTCTGGGGATTAGACTCAGGGCCTGGGCACTGTCCCTGAGCTACCAGTGCCTGGCTACCGTGTGTGTGTGTGTGTGTGTGTGTGTGTGTGTGTGTGTGTGTGTTTAATAACCAGTTCTGGGGATTAGACTCAGGGCCTGGGCACTGTCCTTGAACGTGTGTGTGTGTGTGTGTGTGTGTGTGTGTGTGTGTGTGTGTGTGTGTGTGTTTAATTACCAGTTCTGGGGATTAGACTCAGGGCCTGGGCACTGTCCTTGAACGTGTGTGTGTGTGTGTGTGTGTGTGTGTGTGTGTGTGTTTAATTACCAGTTCTGGGGATTAGACTCAGGGCCTGGGCACTGTCCTTGAACTTTTTTTTTTTTTTTTGGGTCTGGTCGTGGGGCCTGAACTCTGGGCCTGAGTGCTGTCCCTCAGCTCTTCAGCTCAAGGCTAGCTCTTTACCACTTGAGCCACAACACCACTTCCGGCTTTTTTCTTGTTTTTGCTTATGTGGTGCTGAGGAATAGAATCCAGGGCCTCAGGCATGCAAGGCAAGCGCTCTACCACTGAACCACCTTCCCAGCCCCCTGAACTTTTTTTTGTTCAAGGCTAGCACTCTACCACTTGAGCCACAGTGCTACTCCTAGCTTTTTCTGTTTATGTGATACTGGAGAATTGAACCCAGGGCTTCATGCATGCTAGGCAAGCACTAAGTCACATCCCCAGCCCAGCATTTGTATCTTCTTGCTTGTATATATTTTCAAAATGATGATGGCTACATAAAAATTTGTTCTCTTTCATGGTATACAGAAAAGGCTAGCAAATGGCCTGCTCTTTTTATTATACATATTATATTAAAAACCTCAACTTAGTATTTTTGTCTTCCATTGACTATCTTTGCATATTAGTCAGCCTCTGGGTTAAGAGACTACCATATACATGGATAAATACAATATTTTAAACAAATTTTAATCTCTTTATAGAGATTTTTCTGGTATTAGATAATTAAGAATCAAAAAAAATAGATAATTAGAAAATGGAGATAAAACTCACACTGGGAGATTACAGGGAAGTCAAGATGTGACATGCCTTTAAGGAACTCCTTCAGAAGAGACATAATCAAGGAAACACGCATGGGCTAGGAAGGGCCAAGGAGAGTCTGAAATTACTATAAGAAAACTAATCAGAGAGTATTTGACAGGTAAAGGAGTCTTTTAAGAAGATAAAATCTACTCTCTGATAAATAGCCTAATGTAGCTGCTGCTAGAGGTCTAGGAAGATAGCTCAGTGGTAGAGTACTTACAAGGCCCTGGCTTCAATTTCTCAGATCTGTCCATCTGTCTGTCTGTCTGTCTAGCTACCTACCTACTTACCTACCTATAAATGTGAGCTATTGGATAGTAGCCAGAGTAGTCAGAGAATCTTTAGGTTTTTAAAGCCACCAGACTCCTTAGGTTAACTACTATTAAGAGTTCAGTGAGGGGCTGGGAAGGTGGCTCAGTGGTAGAGCACTTGCCTTGCAATGCATGAGGCCCTGGGTTTGATTCCTCAGCACCACATAAGCAAAAAGAAAAAAGCCAGAAGTGGTGCTGTGGCTCAAGTGGTAGAGTGCTAGCCTTGAGCTGAAGAGCTGAGGGACAGCGCCCAGGCCCCACAACCAGACCCCCGCCCCCCCCCCCCCAAAAAAAGAGTTCAGTAAGTCTGGGCATGTGGCTCAGTGATAGAGTGCTTTCCTAGCATGCATGAAGCCCTGGGTTTGATTCCTCAGTACCACATAAACAGACAAAGCCAGAAGTGGCACTATTGCTCAATAGTAGACTGCTAGCCTTGAGCAAAAAGAAGCTCAGAGACAGCATCCAGGTTCTGAGTTCAAGCTCCAGAACTGGCAAAAAGACGAAGAAGAAGAAGGAGAAGGAGAAGGAGAGGAGGAAGAGGAGTTCAGGGATAAATTTCTTCAACTTCTACCAAGATATCTGATTACTTTTGATTTTATCCTCATTGTTATACAGAGAAATTAGAGCTCAAAATGTGCATAATATGATTTAAATTGTATAGACAGTAAACAGGAGGCTACCTCTGTAATACGACTGATTGCCATTATTTATTCTATTGAATGACCCTAAGTAGGTTACTCAGTTTCCTCTTGAGGTAATATTATGAGCTCATAGGGTTGTAGGAAGGTTATCACAAGATTTCTGGAGTTACCTGTACTTAGTATACTATTTCCCCATCTCCAGTTCTCCCTGAAGCCACTTGAATCAGCCTTCTAACCTCATTACTTCAAGGAAACTGCTTTTGTCAAAGGCAGCAATAATCCACTTTGCTAACTTCAGGAGGTAATTCTACAGCTCATCTGGCTCGACATCTCACTTAAGCTTAACAAAACGGATCACTTCTTCCTTCTGAAATATAGTTTCATTTGGTTTTGATGATTTCACATTGTCCTTATTTTTTTTTTTTTAATGTCAGAAGGGTAATGTGCCCAAGTCGTAACAAGGTTTAGAGGGAGGCACATGTCATGCAAGCGCGTGAGAACCCAATCATCACGCTTATGAACCGGAAAAGGATTCACATTGTCCTTATATATAACTACCTTACCTATCCCTCCCTTTTCCTTTTCCCTTTCCTTTTCATACCTTTCCTTTTCCTTCCTCTTTCTTTTCTCTCTCCTCCCTCCCTCCCTCTCTCTTTCTTTCTTCCTTCCTTCCTCTTTCCTTTTTTTCTTCCTCTCTCCCTCCCTCCCATTTTCCTTGATTCACCCCTCTCTCCCCTTTCCCTTCCTCCTTCCCTCCATTCTCTTCCTCACCCCCCTCTCTTTTTTTTTTCTTTCTGCTGGTACTGGGTCTTGAACTTAGGACCTTGCACTCTCAGTAGGCTTTCTTGCTCACAGTAAGAGCCATACCTCCAGCCCTGCTTTCTTGCTAGTTTTTTTTTTTTTCTTTTTTTGCCAGTCCTGAAGCTTGAACTCTGGGCCTGGGCACTGTCCCTGCGCTCCTTTTTGCTCAAGGCTAGCACTCTATCACTTGAGCCACAGCACCACTTCCAGCTTTTCTTCTGTTTATGTGGTACTGAGGAATCAAACCCAGAGCTTCATGCATGCTAGGCAAGCACTCTACCACTAAGCCATATTCTCAGCCCTCTGGTGTTTCTTTCTTTCTCTCTCTCCCTCTCTTCCCCTCTCCCCCTCTCCCTCTCCCTCTGTCTCCTTCTCTTTCTCTCTCTCTCCCTCCTCCTCTCTCTCTCTCCCTCTCCCTCACTTTCTCTCCCTCTCTCTCTTTCTCTCTGTGTCTGTCTGTCTGTCTGTCCTGGGGCTTCAACTCAGGGCCTGAGTGCTGTCCCTGAGTTTTTGTGCCCAAGACTAGTGCCTCTTTGCTAATTATATAAGAGATGTGATCTCACAGACTTTTCTTCTCAGGCTAGCTTTGATCCTTTAGATCTTATTCCTCGAGTAGCTAAAATAACAGGTGTGAGCCATTAGTACCCAGCTTAATTCTTAATTTTTCTCCCACAAACCTACTTCTCTTGCAGCCAGTATACCTCATTAGCAAGTCCTATCATCAATTCATTGAAAATAAATATATACTCTTACCATCCCTCCCCTTACCTATTGTGATTTTTTTTCTATTTATGCCAGTTTTGGGGCTTGAACTCAAGGCCTGAGTACTATCCCTTACCTTTTTCACTCAAGGCTAGCACTCTTTCCACTTGAGCCACAGCTCCACTTCAGGCTTTGCCTTTTGCTGGTTAATTGGAGGTAAGAGTCTCATAGGCTTTTCTGTCTGGGTTGGTTTAGAACCTCAATCCTCAGATCTCAGCCTGCTGAGTAGCTAGGATTACAGGTGTGAGCCACTGTGTGAGCCTCTGGTGCCCAACCTCACTTCATCCATTAACAGCCTGGTCCCAGCTACTACTTCCCTCAGTTGGCTACCATAACAGTCCCCTATTTCCCCCTGCTGCTTCAATTCTTGCTTCCTCTTAGACATTCTTAAACACAGATTTTGTTAAAAGGGAAGTCAAATCCATCTTCCATACTCACACTCTCTGTGCAGCTCCTCAACACATGAAGAATCAAAGCCCTGCGAAATCTGGGCCTACTCTGGATCACTCTTCATTGTGCTCCAACCAAGGAGCTCTTCTTTCCTTTTCTTTATAGATGGAGTGCACTTAGCCTGAAGGTCTGTCCCTCCCCTTGCTGTTGGCTCGCCCAGTTCTCCTCTAGACTCCACATAGTCATGTTGTCACTCGCTCATGTCTTGAGAGCCAGCCATGCACCCTATCTGAATAGCACTGCTGTGATTTCTATTACTTCCCAGTTCCTTACTCGCTTTAGATTGCTTCATAGGTTTAATTACAACCTGATGAACTTAGTTGCTTAGCATCTTTTTCCCTACTTAAATATAAGCTCTGAGAGCAGGAAATCTGTTTTGTTCACTGCTATATTCTGGGAACATAAAATAGTACCAAGCATGTAATAGAACTCAGCATTATCTTTTAAAAATTTTATTACAATTTTTGGATAATATGCAAGTGGATTGCTTCCCCACAATCACTACTGCCACTTCCTCTCCCAGCCCATATCCATGTTTAAGTGAAGCCAATACTGGATCTACAAATCCAGGAAACAGGGCTGGGAAGGTGGCTCAGTGGTAGAGTGCTTGCCTCACATGCATGAGGCCCTGGGTTCAATTCCTCAGCACCACATAAGCAGAAAAAAAGCTGGAAGTGGCGCTGTGGCTCCAGTGGTAGGGTGCTCGCCTTGAGCTGAAGAGCTAAAGGACAGCACCCAGGCCCAGAGTTCAGCCTCATGACCGACAAAAAAAAAAAAAAAAAAAATCCAGGAAACAACATCAGAATTCACAGGTGAAAAAAAGGCCAAAGTGCACAATAGCCCTGAGGGCTTCACAGTGATACTAAATATTGCGTAAAGACAAGAACTCTACCAGTACTAAGTAAAAGTGATTGATGAGACATATTTGCAGAAGTATTAGACTCCAAAAAGACAAATACTCACCTTATCGGCCATCACAGAAGCAAAAAGGAAACGTCCCCCAAGACCAAATGAGTAAATTTTCACACCAATAGTTTTGAAGCTTTTCCCCAAGTCTGAAGTTCTCCATAATTCCAGTGCTCCAAGGTCAGCTTCTTAAACAAGACAAAATGTTAATTAAAATTCCTCTTACTGGTGAGCTTACTTTCAAACAGCTGCTTTAGAATTGCTCCTTAAAGCTGGGCTCCCATGTCTCACACCTGTCAGTAATCCTAGCTGCTCAGGAGGCTGATATCGGAGGATCTCGATTAGAGGCCAGCCCATGCAGGAAAGTCTGTGAGACTTTAAAAAAAAATCTCCAATAAGTACCAAAAAGCCAGAAGTAGAGCTGTGGCTTAAGTGACAAAGCTTTAGCCTTGAGCAAAAGGTCAGGGACAGTGCCCAGGCCCTGAGTTCAAGCCCTACAACTGGCAAATAAATAAACTGTTCTTAATTTTTTGTAGAGAAAGCACTTTTAATCAGACATATGCTGATCTAGTGATAATTTAACCTGGTATGACATCAGATACAGGGAGTTTGTATTTAGATTTTATTTTATACATGCGAGATTTAATGATGGATGTAAACAGAGTTCTCTTAGTTTTAGTAGAGTGGTGCATAAAATAGCACAGTGATAGCATTCTACTTTACTTTCTTCATACTCCATTTAAAAGATGTCCTATTCTACTGAGTTTAGTCTTCTTGCTTATCATCCAACACCTCACTGAATTTGTGATTCAGTCAGAACAGGTTCTGACTGCTTTGTTCTCTACATTTTACAATCATGTTTAACATACAGCAGGTATTCAGACATTTATTGGGTGACTAGTGAAAAGATTTTGTTTTCTACTATAAAACTGGACCACATATTAGGAGGTCACTGGCTCTATTAAATGAAAATATTCCATAGTCTGAAGAAATCATGCATTTCAATTGTCTATTGTTTATAGCATAGGATTTGCTTTATAGCATACCTTGCTAAGATTTAAGTATAATGCCTTCAACTATAGATTACATTTTAATTTAATCCAGGCATAGTATAGTAATTTGGTGGTATTTGAAGATTTTAAAAATCACTAACAGCTATCTCTAGTTATTATATTTTCAGGATAATGGAAAGATCTTTGTTTCTACTTCATATAATCCAGAATATTTAACCATATATATAGACTGCAAGACACATTTCTGGGACTAAAATATACTTACTGCAGGATCCATTCACATAGGTGGTAAAGAATATGGTGGTTCCTGATCCCCTAGGAAAAGGCAAAGACAGAGAAAAGAAATGATTTAAGATGCCAAGAGACTGAGTCAACCTTAGGGACAAAGCCCCTGGAAAATATAACAAGATTTATCCACACGTACCAGCTCCTCAGGAGATGAGCACCCTATTCTCCACAGCCCACAGCTGAGCTTCCCATAGCCTGGCTCCATCTTTGACAGTCTTCCAGCTGGACCCACATGGACTGTCCAATCTGTCTCTTATGTTATATTGCCCACTGTCCCCAAATGCTTTCTCTCCTGTAACCAAATGCATGCCCTCACAATCTTTCAACTGTAGCTTAAATTCTAGCTCTTCGGTGAAGCTTTTCTTATGACCTTCACAGTTTAGAAGTTCTAAACTTCTAGAACAGCAAGTTGTCAATGAGGGGTGATTTAGCCACCAAGGGACACTTGGCAACATCTAGAAACATTTTTGATTCTCAGAACTAGGGTAAGAGTGGGTATGGGGCAGGCAGGCCTGGTTACGACATCTAATGAGTACAAGCCAGGGATGCTGCTAAACAGCTCAGAATGCACAGAACAGAACAGCTCCCTTGATAACAAATTATCTGGCTCAGTGTGTCATTAGTGATGAGGTTAAGAATCCCTGTTCTGGAGCACTGTGCCATTCTATACAAGCCACTTACCATTCATCAGTCTCCCAGTCTTATCTCTACCACACTAATTGATTTCTTCAGGTCACTTACTAAGTTTTAGGCTTTGTAGTTTGCCTTCAGAACCTAGTTTAATGCTTTGAATGAGCTAAATAATTTAGATCTTTCATCTCAAATAGGCAACTAGGTCAGAGGTTGAATTATTTAAAATGTAGCTTGGCCAGGGAGTTTACAGTTTATACCCTGATATACTTATAGGTTACTGCTAGCAAAAGGCAATGCATTTTGAGCCTGTTCTTTCAAAACTTTTGTCGTAAACGCCCAGAAATCAAAGACCTAAAATGTAAGTAAGCAGTTATAGCCTAGCTATCTTATATTCACAGCTGAACAAAGTAATTTTTATTGAAGTAAAAAAAAAGACATAAAATGCCATTTAAAAATAAGTTTTTCATTGTAAAGATAAATTTTAATTAAGGGTGGTAGAGTGGATTTTCATGATCAAAATTAGCATAGTCTTACTTAACCATATCCTACATATTTTAGATCCATCAGGAGTCCAACAATTTGTTAATCTAGTTACCTTAATAATTACTTCCTTCCTGATAAGACCTTATTTGATACAGACACAGCCATTAAAATTCATAAAGTGAAAGCAGATGTGGCATGTACTACAATAATGCTATAAAAAATCTCATTTATAGTGAGCATTTCTGGAAAAGACCCACCTTCTTTAAATAGTAAATGTCTAATATTTAAATTAAATATTAAATTAAAATTTTGACTAAGCCATAGTTCAAAATCTGTATTAGGTTTTCCTGATTTCCTAAATAGAGTACATAAAACTCTTTCTTGAAGTTACAGGTCATCAACGATAAACCATTAGAAGTTACTGTCCTTTCTTGTATATGTTCTTTCTTGATCTAGTACTAAATCATTTTGAATTGTTATACTGAGTTTTATCCACTCTGTTATGGGTTTTTTGCTTCTTTTAGCTCTCAAGCTGTAATTCTAATGTCATGTGCTTGATGCTAGCAGCCACATAGCTCATTCTGGCAGTAATCTGCTATTAACTGGGACACTGGATTAACTTGTTGGAATTAGTCAAAAGAAAAGAAAAAAGAGAGCCTCTGGACAAAGGTCTAAGCCTAAACAGAATTTTGAAGATATAAAGGCTATAAATTCAATGCTTGATCAACCATCCTTCCCCCAAATAAATCTCTTGCAAAGTTAAAACTGAAGCCTAGAGCGGTTAAATCACTGACTAGTACCAGAGCCAGGTTAGAGCAAAGATTATTTGACTTCTAAGTAAGAAATCTCTCTACTATATCATCCTTAAATAGGCACCTGAGGGGGCAAGGCATCCTGCCAAGAGAACTGAGTAGGTTTTGGTGCACCGACACTGGAACTGGGCAGTCTAGAAACTATTTCAGCTTCTTCCTGAGTTGTTACTGTATTCTACATCTAACTGAAATGGATTGCTAGACAAGGGAGTATAAATCTTCATGCAAAGTATTAAAATCTCCAAATTAAAGTTGCATCGTTATGCTCTAATTGATGTTACCAATTATGAAGAATAAACCTTTTGCAGGCAGCAGCTACTGAGTCACACGCTCTGTTTATATTTGAACATTCAGTGAGGATAAATCTTTTTTCTCTCAGCACAATTAGAGGCTGCTCTGGAGCAAGGTCTATGTCATAGCTCTCTCTTGAATCCCTCATGGCACACTTAACAGTATCTGACCTACAATAAGTGGTCTACATTTACTCATATGACTTATGGCAGCACTAAAGGCTTAGGGCTCTGCACAGATGGAGTTTTCTGTTACTCACCATTTGGCCAAACACACTGCTTTGTGGATTTCTTCCCATTTTCCTCCAAAATTCTTGGACACCCACAGTCCATTCTAAAAGAGTATAAATGACTTATCAACATTTCAACTTCATCCTGTGCAGCTGCTTATATGACCTTTAATATTTCATATTCAATCATTCTAGTTCCACTACAGTTGCCTGTACTGCACACAGTGCACATGCACACGCAAACACACACTCCTTCAGTCTTGAATGTTGAGAATAACAAATGCCTATAAAGTGCCTACTATGTGCCAGACACTTTACCAGCTGTTGCACTGAGACTACAAAGATGAAGAAATACTCCCTCCTCTCAAGAAGCTCACGGTTTAATAAGGAACATAGATAAGAAGAGAGCTCAACATCACATGGTGTTATGGACACAGTTTAGTATACAAGTGGGGACAGAGGCATACTGCATAGTGATTGTTTCCTGAAGAAGGCAGAGGCACTGACTGAAATGATGAGCAGTATAACAACAACAAAAAAGGCAAGCAGGGAGATGAGGTGCAATTGCATCAGACTGGGACTGGCAAAGGCAGGGAAGGAGGGGATAAAACTCCTTCAGTGCATGCAGAACACGAAAAAACAGCCAGGTACCAGTAGCTCACACCTGTAATCCTAGCTACTCAGGAGGCTAAGATCTTAGGATCTTAGTTCAAAGCCAGCTTGGACAGAAAAGTCTGTGAGACTCTTATCTCGAATTAATTACCAAAAAAAAAAAAAAAAAGTGCTCAAGTGGTAGAGCACTAGCTTTGAGCCACAGTACCACTTCTGGTTTTCTGGTTAATTGGTGATAAGAATGTTAAAGACTTTCCTGCCTGGACTGACTTTGAACTTTGATTCTCAGATTTCTGCCTCCTGAGTAGCTAGGATTATAGGTATGAGCCACCCATGCCCCGCTAGCAAGATCTTTTTTTTTTCTGTTGGTCCTGAGGCCTGAACTCTGCGCCTGGGCGCTGTCCCTCAGCTCTTCAGCTCAAGGCTAGCTCTCTACTACTTGAGCCACAGCGCCACTTCTGGCTTTTTTCTTTTTGCTTATGTGGTGCTGAGGAATCAAACCCAGGGCCTCATGCATGCAAGGCAAGCACTCTACCTAGCCAACTTCCCAGTCCCAGCAAGATTTTTTTGAAAGCTGGACTGGAACGGGATGACTTTTGCTGTAGGGTACGATGTATAAAGTCAATCACTCTGGGATTCAGGTTGAGATATGGTATGCGTTGTTGTATCATTAATACTGTTCTCAGCACCTACTCTTCTCCACGATTTGCCTTCAAATTTCCCCTCCTTTAATAACATTCACCTCCCAGCATTTCTAACTTACCAGGTAGAAACACAGATAGTAGCCCTCCCTGAGGACAGTCGTATTTAAATAACCTTAAGATATGTGGCAATGGGCCTGAGGTGGTTAAGGGGAGATCTATGATTCTGCCCTTCCAGGGTCCTTAAATATGCTTGGAGGCTCTTTTCTCTGAAGAGCTGAAGCACCTACCCTCAAGCAAACTAGTTTCTTTGCTCTGGCCTCCACTGAATAAGCCTAATCGGACTCTGCTGGAGTAGCCCCTCCTCTCTGTGCCTCCTCCCAAACATCTTGTCGCTAAAGGTTTAATACTCAGACAGCTCTTCCTCTGCCCTTTTCTCTATCTTTTTTTTGTTGTTGTTGTTGGTCGTGGGGCTTGAACTCTGGGCCTGGGCGCTGTCCCTCAGCTCTTCAGCTCAAGGCGAGCGCTCTATCACTTGAGCTACAGCGCCACTTCCGGTTTTCTGGTGGTTTATTGGAGATAGGAGTCTCACGGTCTCTCCTGCCCGGGCTGGCTTTGAACCGGGATCCTCAGATCTCAGCCTCCTGAGTAGCTAGGATTACAGGCGTGAGCCACCAGCGCCCGGCTCTTTTCTCTATCTTAAAGGAGTTCCTCAGGTGTTCGGGTCTGATATTAGTGGGAACTTCCTGAAGAAAGGCAAAGGAGAAAAAGGGAACACTGGTCTCTGGGGAAAACATAGAGATGGGGAGGGGGAATTTGAAACTTTGGATATTTAATACATTATTTTTAAAAAGAGAAATGCTTTATAAGCTGAGACAATATGGAGGTCTTTTTTTGTTTTTGTGTGTGTGTGTGTATGTATGTGTGTGTGTGTGCGCGCCAGTAGTGCGCCTTAAATAAAGGATTGGAGCTAAGAGTCTGATGAACTTTCTTGTCCAGAAATCCTCAGATCTCAGCCTCCTGAGTAGTTAGGATTACAGAGTGAGCCACTAGCGCCCCGACCCAGTTCAGCCCTTAATCTTTTGCTCAAATCTAGAGCTCTACTATTTAGGCCAAAGCTCACAAAGCTTTGCTTTTTTTTTTTTTTTTTTTGGCAGTTAATTGGAATAAGAGTCTCATAGACTTTTCTGTCTTGGCTGGCTTTGAACAATGATTCTCAGATCTCAGCCTCCTGAGTAGCTAGGATTACAGAAATGAGCCACCAGTGCCCAGTAATGATATGCTGATATTTTTTATGTTGAGGAATTAACAACAAAAAAGGACAGTGAAATTTGACTATAGAAAAAGAACAATGAAAATACTATGAATTTGACAATTTGTACTTGTCTTTTCAACACAAGAATATTTAAACTGCTTTCTAGTTCATTGCTTGAATAACACAACATACCCAGTCACTTATAAAGTTATGATGACTTACATAGAATGTGTTTGTGACTTTAACTAAGCATCACTATCCCACAATACAGTGAAATTTGTGGAATTATATAATTACTTAATCACAATAAAGAATTTGCAAAAAAAAAGTTATGACAACTTGCATATCAAACTTATCCAAAAGAGATAGCATACAGAAATTGAATTCCTTGACAAATAAAACAATGCAAAAAGTATATATATGTCATGAGTAAAGATATACTAGAAAGCAGCTCAGTATTAAAAATATAACCTTTTAAGAAAATATATTTTGAGAATATAAAAATGCAAAAGGCAAGTTTCTCTGGACTTACTTCAGTGCTGAGGGCTAAAAGGTAATCAGAATTCTGAGGACTGTACATCATCTGAGTCAGAGGATGAAAAGGGAGATCTGTCTGTACAAAGTTCTTTGCGAAATCTGATGATCTGAAGATCCTTCCTCCACGGCTTCCTCCAGACACCTCCGCAGTCAATATCACCTGACCAGGAAGAGGAAAGATTATATTCAAGGAATAACACTTTAAAAGTACAGGAAGTTCTTACACCATTTTCACTAGACATTAGCTAAAAGAATTTTTAAAAGAGTTGGAGGTATGGCTTAGTGGTAAAGCATCTAACAATCATGAGGCTTTTAGTACCAAAACAAAAAAGGCTGTGTTATAATGATTCATGTTTATAATCCTAGATACTTGGGAAGTTAGAAGCCAGCTTGGGCAGAAAAGTTCCTAAGACTCCCTTCTCAATGAAGACCTGGAGGAGAGGCTGGTTATAGTGGAGAATGCCTGTTAGCTACAACTGAAAGTATATAAACTTAGGTTACTGGCTTCCAGGCATGTACTGAGGCAGGAAGCAGGACCTTATCTCAAAAGTAATAAGTGAAAAGCAGAGCTGGAGGCACGGCCCTGCAGTAAGAGTGCTTGCTGCACAGGTGCCAGGCCCGAAATTCAAACCTCAGCATCACACACAAAATTTTAGATTCATAAGAGGAGTTAGTTGCTCCGTATTAAGCCTCACATCTTATGAAAAAAATATCATCTTGAATTGTGCTACATATAAAACCTGTGATTTTCAGCCTGGTCAGTTTTAACACTGTTTGTTTCTCAAAAGACTGAAATGCTGCTGAAAACAGTATATTGATAAACAACTACCGTGTAAGTATGAAGGGCTTTTGGTGCATCCTACATAGGAACAATAACAACAACAATAAGATTCATGTGATCTTAAACAACACTTAAACAACACTTTTTTTTCCTTTGGTGCCAGACCTGGGCGCTGTCCCTGAATTTTTTGCTCAAGGTTAGCCCTTTACCACTTGAGACAGCTCTACTTCCAGCTTTTTGGTGGTTAATTGGAGATAAGAGTCCACTTGCCTGGGCTGGCTTTGAACCTCAATTCTCAGATCTCAGCCTCCTGAGTAGCTAAAGATGTGAGCCACTAATGCCCAGGTTATGCTTAATTTTTAAATAGAGAAATACTAAATTAAATATCACTGCATCATGCCAATAGTAGCCTATGATAATCCTGTGTGTGGCAGTGGGCCCCAGCTTCATTTATGCAGGAACAAGTCTCACCTTTCCAGAATTCTCAGGACCAATAGCCATGCCAAATTCAGTCCGAATGAAGGTGTTATTGATGAGATTTGTAATATCTTTGAAGTTCTTTCCATAATCCTCACTGAAAGAAAATAAAACCAAATTTGGAGTATGGTGGTTATAGATATTGTCAGCTTCTATTTCTCCATTGCATGACTTTTTGAGGTCTGATTGGTCTCAGGGAAATCTCCCTGAGAAATCTCCCTCCCTACTCCAGTCATGGCTTCTGGATAGAAGACTAACCTACGTGGAGCCAAAGAGACAGAAAGGGAAAGCTTGATACACATTTCCTTCCAGCATAGACACTTGACACGGTGGTCTGTCATCTTTTAGACTAGTAGTTCTCAACAAAAGTGTACCCTACCCCCTACTACCATACTTGGAATATCTGGAGACATTTTAAATATCATAACTTGGTTCAGGTGCTACTGGTATCAAGTAGATGGTGGTCAGTGAGGCTGCCAGGCATCTGTAGATGCACAGGACAGTCCCACAACCTCAAACATCACCAACGCCAAGGCCAAGAAATCCAAAAACATACAAAAGCAAAAATTGCTAATCATTTTGTCACAAAGCTAGGACAACTGAGAATTTCTCAGTTGTTCTTCTGAAGCCCGCCTTTCCTCTGTTTAGTGAGTTGATCATTCCTTTATTATTCATGCTAGAATGACTTGGGACATACGTTAGATATAGTCAAAGACTCCTAACTAGTCTATTAATCTATAGAGTTTATGGGAAAGTTGCAGGTTAATTAGTGGGATCTTGAAGTTTCTACTGCTCAAAGTTACCATCACTGGGCACATGTTTCTAATGAATGTAACACAAAACATAGCTAGGAAAATCAAACAATGAATCTCAACTCTTGGCTTCTCCCAGAAGTTCATTCCACAAAACCTTTGAGAAGTATTTTGAATCCATGTTTAGATTTTGAGAACAGTAAACAAACTATCAGTAGACAAATTTAATACTATAGGTAGCACTCTTCAGACACAATAAAGAATGCTAAATCTTAATATTTATTACAGTTTAGTATCTACCAGTGAAGATGACTATACATGGAAAATTAGGTAATATACAGTGGTACTCACTAATAGGACTTATAACTTTAAAAGTGTTTTGCCAATTTTATCTGTAGCATCAAGTAATCAAGAATTTCAGAGCTGGGTGCTAATGGCTCACTCCTGTAATCTGAACTACTCAGGAGGCTGACATCTGAGGATCATAGTTCAAAGCCAGCCCAAGGATGAAAGCCCATGAATTCATCTCCAATTGACCACTAAAAAGTAGAGTGCCAGTCTTTAGCAGAAAAAAGCTAAGGGACAATGCCCAGGCACTGAAAATACTTCATGCAACTCCCTTATTTCACATGAGTTGCTAGGGGAGGCAATTTAGCAAAAGTCAAGTATTTCAGGATAAAATTGAAAGTAGTCCAAGTCTTTTAATTGTCACTACCAAGACAACTTCTAATTATTTGTGAATTCTGTGAATTTTTTTCCCTCTCTTATAACTTGATGTTTTCTCCCTTTTGACCAGGCAGTACACCTCAGATAAATAAAAGCCTGAGAGAGAAGGCATCAATGCCTGTCTCTACATACCTCTGATCATGTAGGCTAAACCAAACCACGTCTTTAAGTTGTCTGAATGACTCCCTCTCCCTTAGCACATGTATAGAGAAAATGCCTACGTATATAAAATAGAGATTAGGCACCAACCAACAGATCATTACATTGCCTTAAGTTTGATTTTGGAGGACAAGATCAGTTATTATCTTTCTGACAGTCATCAAGAGATGTGCATAAACAACGGCCAGCTCTGCAGGGTACACATCAGTCACAGCCCAAACAACATTCCAAGGGGTTGTAGCAGCTATTACTAGCTTGAAAATCGTTCCTCCTTCATGATATTCCCAGGGAACTGTCACAAATTCCCAGGGAATCTAAACAAAATTGTTCATTTTTTCCAAACTTGATACAACAAACACACCCTTGCCTCTCAGATAAGCAAAAACCAAAAAATGAATAAAACAAAAACATTACTGCAACTCTTTGATACTTTAAATAGTTAAATAAATGGAAAAAATGGACTAGTACAAAATTACTGAAAATAGGATTCTATCAAGTCTGCTTTGGATCTACAAGTGTCTATCCATGGGTGCATGTGTGTGCTTGTGTGTGTGTATTAGCAGTTCTGGAGTTTGAACTCAGTGTCTCATGCTTGTTAGGCAGGCTTTCTGTCTACCACTTGAGCTCCACCTCCAGCCCCTTTTCTGTTTTAGTTGTTTTTTTAGGCAGGTTCTTACCTGCGTAGGGTTTTGTCTGGGCTCAGGTTCAAACCACAATCCTCCTACCTATGGCTTCCTGCATACCTGCAATCATAGGTGCTCACCATCACACACAGCCTTTATTGAGATGGGAGAAGTCTAACATTTTGCCCAAGCTGTCTTCAAACATCAACCCTCCCAATCGCTACCTTCCAGTAGGGATTTACAGGCATAAACTACCTTGATAGCATAGAAGCATATTTTAACCGAGCATTTTATTTAAATGTAGCCTTATTTTCTGTCAGTATACATGTACATGCAATATATATCATGGGGAAGAAATAACCAAAAACTCTGAAAAATACATCTACTTTTCAAAATTGATAAAACTATAAGTAGCAGTCAAATGATTAAGTAACAATGGAAACCTGTCAAACTATCTGCTTTAGAAACAAATCTTCTAGTTGGATGATGGTGGCTCATGCTTATAATTCTAGCTATTCAGAAAGCTAAGAACTGGAGGACACCAGTTTGAAGCCATCTAGGGAAGAACAGTCTATAGGAACCCATCTCCAATTAACCAGCAAAAAGCCAGACTTGAGGCATGGCTCAAGTGGTAGAGCACTAGCCTTGAGCTGAAGAGCTGAGGGATGGTGCCCAGGCTCAGAGTTCAGGTCCAGACTGGCAAAATAATAATAATAATGATAATGATAATAATAATAACAATTATATCCTTCTATCCTAATATCCACTCTTCCTTGTTACAAAAATAAATAATCATATTCATGTATATCTGTGGCATAAATATGCATAAGAGTTTGCACATAAGTAAGTGCCTTGTTTATTACTCAAGACAACACTAAAATAAAAATATGTAGAATACAACTTGTTTTAGTCCATTTGCATGGTTATAAAAGAAAGCTGTAGACTGGTGGCTTGTAAACAATAGAAATTTATTTCTCACAGTTCTGAAGGATAAGAAGTCCAAGATCAGAGCACTCTTAGATTTAGTGTCTGGTCAAAGCCAAATTCCTGGCTCAGAAACTGCCATCTTGTTTTTGTTTGTATAGCCTTAGAGACAAAGTCACACTATGGAACCCAGACTGGTCTCCAACTCATCATTCTTCTGGCTCAGCCTTCCAAGCACTAGGATTATACGTATGTACCACACTCAGATCAAACTGTCATCTTTATTATTATTATTATTAGATGATGATGATGATGATGATGATGTAGTTTGTTGTACAAAGAGGTTTCAATTCTCTAAGTCAGGTTATGACTACAATGCTTCTTGATCAATGTCATCCCTTCCATAATTCGCCCCATTTTTCCTTCTTCCATCCCTACTCTCAAATTATATAGTTCAATTTTTACATAATCTTCATTGGATATAATGACTCCATTTTCTCACACTTCCTCCTCCCATTTGTGTTCTTCCCCTGAACATGTTTCTGCTTCCTCAAACAGCTCATTAGCTGTTCAGAAGAACTGGACTCCTCCCTTAGGTATACCACTCTTTAGTCAGTCAAACCTCATCACTGTAACCTCACAAGACAGAAGGGCCAAGAAAGTTCTCTGAGAATTTATTTATTTAATTTACTATTGTGGTACTAGGGCTTGAACTCAGGTCTTTGTAGTCCGATGTTTTACCTTACTTGAGTCATACTTCCAGCTCTTTATTTATCTTTTGGTATTTTATCTTGCATTTATGAATTGGACTATGATCCTCCTATTTATGATATACACAGCTAGGATGATAGATGGCCAGCTATTGTTTGAGTTGAAGTCTTACCAACTTTTTGCCCAAGTTGGCCTTGAGCTACCTCCTCTTATACCACTGAATTGGAGGTTAGGATTGCAAGGTGTAAATTTGATGAGGGACACATTCAGTCTGCCTCTGGTCCAACCAAATTCATGTCCTTCTCACATGAAAAATGCATGTTACATTTCAACATCCCCCAAAGTCTTAATTCATTCCAGCATCAATTCTAAAGTCTCAAATCTAAAGTATCATATAGATGTTATCTAAATCAGGTGAGATTCAAGGTATAGTCATTCTGAAGCAAATTTTCTAGCTACAAGATCAAACAAGTTATATGCTTCTAAACCACAATGGAGGGCAGGTATGGTAGAGATATTTCCATCCCAAAAGGAAGAAATGGAAAAGAAGAAAAGGGATCCCAAGCAACAAGGCAATCTTGAGAAAAATCCTCATTGGCTCAGTTCTTGGTCCTCCAGATCCACTGGGGTGATAGTCATCTTTACAGGTTTGCCAGCCAGGGGTTGAAACCCAAGGTTCCGGAAGGCTCTGCACCTACTGGGTAGAATCCATTTGGCCTATTGAAAAAAGGTATTTGAGGGTAGAAATGGAAAGGGAGAACTGGGGAAGAACCAAGGAAGGGGTGATGTTGACCAAGAAGCATTGTGCTCATCACCTGACTGATGGAACTGTAACCCCTATATACAACTACTTGGATTTTTTTAACTTAATTCTATTTTTTGTTTTGCTAGTCCTGCAGCTTGAATTCAGGGCCTTGGTGCTGCCCTTAGCTTTTTCACTCAAGGCTAGTTCTTTACCACTTGAACCACACCTCCACTTCTGGCTTTTTATGGTTAATTGGAAATCAGAGTCTTATTGAAATTCCTGCCCAGATTGGCTTCAAATCACAATCCTCCTGAGTAATTAGTATTAAAGTCATGAGCCACCAAAATCTGGTTAACCATTCTGCTTTTAAGTCATTTCTCCCTTTTTGTACTTTATTATTATCAGCAGTGAAGAGAAGCCACGCATCGGCTTCAATACCTTGCTTAGAAATTGCTTTATTATATTTTGAGTTTCATCACTTGCCAGACCTACTTTCCACCCAACACTAAACCAATGGCTGAACACAAATTATGCCAAGTTCTTTGACTGTTCATAATATAGATTGGATTTTCTCCATTGTTGAATAATATGTGCTTCATTTCGGTCTAAAACCTCATCATAATGGCTTTATTGTCTATAATATATGTGTGTACATTTTTTTTTATCAATCTGTTATGTTATTTAGGTATTCTCTAAAACATAAGCTTTTCAACAGCTCTCCTTTTTCATTCTAAGTCCTCAGTGGAATCACATATAAAAATCACAGCAATTTTGCCAGGCCCCGGTGGCTCACGCCTGTAATCCTAGCTACTCAGGAGGCTAAGATCTGAGGATCCCGGTTCAAAGTCAGCCTGAGCAGGAAAGTCCATGAAACTCTTATCTCCAATAAACCACTAGAAAACTAGAAGTGGCCCTGTAGCTCAAGTGGTAGAGAGCTAGCCTTGAGCTGAAGAGCTAAGGGACAGCGCTCAGGCCCAGAGTTCAAGCCTGACAACTGAAAAAAAAAAAAATCACAGCAATTTAAACTTTTTCTATTTACTCCTCAAAACTCAACCCTTCTCTCTAGTACTTTCATTTATTTTGCCATAATTAAGTCACTATAATATAAAAGTAACAAGGGTGATAACAAATTCTTAAAAATAATGATAATTTCATGCATTTCATGAACTGGGAGTTTAAATAGTTGATTCTCATTACAATCTGTTTTTACAAATTGTGTAATTGCTTAAATTTACTTGTAACTAACTCTTACTCTATGCCAGGCATTGCAGGACATTCCTTGCAACAGCCCTGAGGTGGACTTCTGATCACTCTTCCTTAAGAGGTGACAGAAAAGACTTAGGTGGCAAATAACTGGCCCAAGTTCCTCTTGCTTGCAAAGGACAGTGATGAGCTTTAGTCTCAGGATTACTTACTAACAAACTTCAGCAGCTTTTTATTTTTCCAAGTTGTTTCTCAAGTCTATATAGCCATATGATATAATTTTTTTTGCCAGTCTTGGGGCTTGCACTCAGGGCCTGAGCACTGTCCTTGGGCTTCTTTTGCTCAAGGATAGCGCCTGAGTCATGGCACTACTTCCGCCTTTTTCCGTTTATGTGGTACTGAGAAATAGAGCCCAGGGCTTCATGCATGCTAAGCAAGCACTCTACCACTAAGCCATATTCCCAGGCCATATAATTTTAAAGAAGGAAAAACAATCAAGATAAGAAATTGTAAATACTCAGCAGTAACCTTTCTTTCAGAATTTCCAAATACTTTATGATACAATGATATCACTGTTATAATGAAAGATAAGTTGGCAGGAAAAACTGTATCAGGACAGATCTCATAAGAACAAAGATTTTTAAATGTTCTGAGTAGTTTTTATTGGACATAAGAGCTGCACAGATAAGAGCTGCCTGGGCTGGTTTCAAACCACAATCTTCAGATCTGTCTCCCGAGTAGCTAGGATTACAGGTGTGAGACACTGGCACCCTGCTAAAAGTTACAAATTTTGAATGTATTTTTTCCTCCCAAGTGAGGCTTCTCCTTTGTCTGAAATGATTCAACTACTGTTCTAATTAGATACACAAAACCATCTATTACAGCCCTTTCTTAGCACTAGGATCCTATAGTACATTGTTACTTTAGTATCAAACAAATAAAAAAGTATTAGCGGTTTCAAAAGTATAGAGAAAGCGAGGCGTTCATTCAGACAGATTTACTGTCTACCTACTATGTGTCAGTCCTTTTGTCCAAATGCTGGAGAATTCCTACTTAAGTTCAGTTCCAAAATGAAATTCTGTCTACTGTGCTGAAGGGCAGAACCCTCTGGTTCTAGGCCCCGGAGCAACAGTTAAAGGTCACGCCTACAAGAGAAGGGAGGTAGGGTTGATCAGAGTCAAAGCCTCACACCTGGGCCAAAGCCTCACACCTGGGCCAAGGCCAACAGACAGCCTTAGAACCTAACAGGACACATGGGACACATACTGGTGTGGGGGTTGTTTCTGAATCATCTCCTAGGAGTTCATTATTTCATTAGGCAATTTGAGAAGTTAGTCTTGATCCTTATTGTTAAGTAAAAGAATCTTCTATTTAACCAAGCTGGACTTTTGAGACTATTTTAAAATGAGTATCACAGAATATATGTTCTCACTGTCATTATCAGGTGAACCTACAAACCAGTTTGGTAGGTCTGACCTGAGAACCTCCTAGGCATTCAGAAGACAATTACCAGGGTAGTGAATGTGGCTTAGTGGTAGACTACTTGCCTAGCATGTATAAAGCCCTAGGTTCGATTCCTCAGTATCACATAAACAGAAAAAGCTGGAAGTGGCGCTGTAGCTCAAGTGGCAGAGCACTAGTCTTGAGCAAAAGAAGCTCAGGGACAGTGCCAAGGCCCTGAGTTCAAGCTGCAGGACTAGAGTGGAAAAAAAGGGGAAAAAAAGGAAAAGAAAAGAAAACAATTACCAGAGAATCACCATCTCTTATCAGTTCAGGCCTCAGAATATTAGATAAGTAATACTTGCTTAGAATACAATGAGAACTTTCAGTGCAGAGATATAAAAAAATTTCTATGCTCATAAAAATAGATATAAAATTTAAACTACTTACAACAAATAAGTATCTAGGCAAAATAACACACACTTCTGCAGACTCTTCACCTTCTTTTATTTTGCCTCTCAGGCAGGTCATCCTAGTTCTTTAGAAGTAGATCCCTTTTTGGGCTGGGAAGTGGTAGAGCACTTGCCTTGCATGCTTGAGGCCCTGGGTTTGATTCCTCAGCACCACATAAGAAAAAAGCCGGAAGTGGCGCTGTGGCTCAAGAGTGCTAGCCTTGAGCTGAAGAGCTGAAGAGCTGAAGAGCTGAGGGACAGTGCCCAGGCCCAGAGTTCAGGCCCCACGACCAGACCCAAAAAAAAAAAAAAAAAAAGAAGTAGATCTCTTTTCATATTTCATATTTCTTCAGGTTGTCATTAAAAAGTGTGCTGATGGGGGCTGGGAAGAAGGCTCAGTGGTAGAGCACTTGCCTTGCATGCCTGAGGCCCTGGGTTCAATTCCTCAGCACCACATAAGCAAAAATAAAAAAAAGCCGGAAGTGGTGCTGTGGCTCAAGTGGTAGAGTGCTAGCCTTGAGCTGAAGAGCTGAGGGACAGCGCCCAGGCCCAGAGTTCAGGCCCCATGACTGGACCCAAAAAATAAAAATAAAAAAATAAAAAGTGTGCTGATGGATGCTGGTGACTCACATTTACTATCCGACTCAGGAGGCTGAGATTTGGAGGACTGACTGTAACTCAAAACTAGCCCAGGCAGAGAAGTCCTTGAGAATACATCTCAAATGAACTAGCAAATAGCTGGGCTGGAGGTTTGGCTCAAGTGATACAGCATCAATGGTAAACAAGCAAGCTAAGCAAGAGTGAGGCCCCTGAGTTCAAATCACAGTATTAACACACACACACACACACACACACACACACACTCTCTCTCTCTCTCTCTCTCTCTCTCTCTCTCTCACTCACTCACAAGACTTCTCTGAATCCATATCTGGGCATAATGGTGTACATTTGTCATCATAAAATATGTGGGAAGGGAAGTGGCACTGTGGCTCAAGTGGTAGAGTGCTAGCCTTGAGCTGAGGGGCAGCGCCCGGGCCCAGAGTTCAAGCCCCATGACCGACAAAAAAAAAAAAAAATGTGGGAAGCTAAGATTGGGAGGATCACAGTTCCAAACCAGGCTGGCAGAAAAATCTGTTAGATTCTGGAAGGGAAGCAGAATGCAATAGTGTGTGTGTGTGTGTGTGTGTGTGTGTGTGTGTGTGTGTGTGTGTGTGTGTGTGTGTGTGTGTGTGTGTGTGTGTGTGTGTGTGTGTGTGTGTGTGTGTGTGTGTGTGTGTGTGTGTGTGTGTGTGTGTGTGTGTGTGTGTGTGTGTGTGTGTGTGTGTGTGTTCCTAACAACCATAGGAAGCTTAAATAGTTGGACCTTGGCTTAGGCATATGCCTGAGACTGAAAGTAAGACTGTCTCAAAAATAACCAGTGAAAAAGCTAAATGTGTAATTCAGGTCTAGTACATGCAAACCCGAGTTTAAACCCTAGAACCACCAGAAAAAAAAAGTGGGGGGGGGGGGGAGGGAGAAAGGAAGGAAGGAATGAGCAAAAGGAAGAGAAAAAAGGGTGTTGAGTATGAACAGAATGGTGAAAATTTAAGACAGCTGGAAGATATTCTAAATCAACCATAATGTTCAGAAAAGGTAGAACTCAGATTCCTAATGTATTAGTCAAATGCCATTAACGTTATGTTATCTATCTCACCTTCGATATAACTTGGACTGTCCAAAAGTCATAATTACCAATGGCACATGGAAGGTCGTCAATACTAGAATGACCTGGAAAGAGACAAAAAAAAAAAAGCATTCTGTTAATAAGAGAGACCCTACAATTGCATGCTGATATCTAATGAGATTAAACCACCCTTGAAAGGACTGTTGATATCCTTAATTTGTAGCAGTAATATATCCGAAACCCAAGAAGGACTAAATTACTAAGGTTTACAGGAATGGTTTAAGAAATCCTTAACTGATTTCATTGGAATGGTTTCTCTTCGCAAATACTTTAGGCCTTGAGGCAGAGCTATTGAAACACATTTCAATTATGGAAGGATTTTAACTACTTTGTATCCGTATTAACATACATTAGTCAGGCAAAAACCTATTTTTGTTTTGTCTACTGAGGCTAGAATATGACAGGTATTCTAACAGAGGTAATTCCACTAAGTTCATTTGATAATTACTTTTTTACAAAAATATAGATGAGGAAAAATTTGGGATAGATGCATTACAGTAGTTTATGGAGATGAAAAGACATTTAGTTAGAAATATTTGGATCGGAGGCATGGCTCCAATTAAGCACTAGACAATGAGCAAAAGTGTGAGGTACTGTGTAAGTTCTAGTTTCAGACCTAAAAAAGAAAGAAAGAAAGAAAGAAAAAGAAATCTTGGCACTATCAACTAGCTTAGATAAATGAATAAATCACAAAAATTAGGGCACACTGTTTAGAAGAAACTAAGACATGCTGAAAGAAATTTTAAGGAGTTTAAAATTAACTAAGATGCCTATAATCCTAGCTACTCAGGAGACTGAGATCTGAGGATCATAGTTCTGAGCCAGACCAGACAGAAAAATCCTCAGGACTCTTTTCTCCAAATAACTAGCAAAAGCCAGAAGTGGGAGCATGGCTCACACGGTTAGAGCACCAGCCATGAACAAAAAGGCTGAGGCCTTGAGTTCAAGCCCTAGTATAAGGAAAGGGGGTAGGAGGGAGGATGGGAAGGAGGTGAAGAAGGGGAAGAAGGAAAAGGAGGAAGAAGAAAATAATTACTTTCTTTTCTAAACCAAAATTTTATTTCTTTGGCTTCTAACATAGCTATCCTGTGCCTTAAAGCTATGACACACACATTACTGGAACACCAGGGCCATAGAACATGGTCCCTGTCTGAGTTGAGGCAGAACAACAGAAACAGGCAACCTTAAGTCTTGAATGAAGACCTGAGGACCATCCTTAGCATACTTCCCTCTGCCTTTGAAGGATACCAGCAGCACCCCTGGAGGGATACGCACTCACAGACTCCCTTCCATTCCCCAATCTTGTTAGTACCTGCTTTTTGTAGGGACAGTGTCAACCAAGGGAGGTGAAACCACCATAGACCCACAGATGCCACAGTCTTTACTTCAATATAATTGTGGGAAAGAATAAAAGAAAAATAGTTTGGGGTAAAAAATGCCAAGATGTGTAATGTGCTCCTTTCTGCTTCTACATAGCAATCTTCACATAGCACTCTCCTTCCTTCCTCTTGCTTCTTCTTGTTCATCTTGATGTTAAAGAGCCACCAAGGACTAAAAAACTATTTTCCTGCTATTGAAGAACACAGCCTCAAGAAGTATACCAACTCCAAGTTCATAAAAGTCTGTCCTGAAAGTATTCATTTTCTATGAGGTTGAAGATGGTCCAGAAATAAATGATATTTACTGCTTACTCTCTCCAAATTACCTCATCTTACTAGAGTATAATAGACTCAAGATATTACTTACCCCAGTGCTATCTCCAACCCAGGACAAGGATACTGAGCCACTGAGATCATCAAACACATGCTATAAGGGGAAAAAGAAAAGAAATTAATTTAGAAATAGCATCTATTCTCCTTTAATATATTACTATTGTTCTGGGTAATTGGGTTTATAATTTGAAGGGGACATGGATTTCTAGAACAAAATTTGGAAGAGACAGGATTTAACTACTTAACCTGAATCACAAATAACTCGGAAATTTAAATTCTCTCTCACACAAAGTAAGCCAAGCAGATGAGTTTTCATCCCTGCACCAGATGGGGAGATGGAATAATCTAATTGCTTTCTTTAAAAGAACTAAATATAAACACACCACAAAGTATTCTTAGGATGCTTGAAAACAAGAGATGAGAGTTCACGACAGACATAATTATAGCCCAATCAACTTAATTTGAACTTTTCTAAGCAGTCTTCACAGCATCACAGAATAGTTAGTAGATTCCTTTGCTTCTCGGCTAACTCACCAAAAATAAGCAAATGGCTTTGTGCTGTTCTTTTATTCAATAATAACAGTATAAAATAGCAATAAATCTTACTGGGTTGTGGCAAGAGTAGAGAGACAAAAGAGGGCAAGCTGGCATATTATAAATATATTTATTATATAAATATGCTATATTAAAATATAGTTATAATAATCATTGCAGGTGCTTTTGACTTTTTCCTCAAAATACCTCCTTTCCCTATTTACAAAATAAGGTATAATCCTTGTAGAAAATTTAGATAATTATAAGGAAGTGTAAGAAAGAAAATAAAGTCCTTCATAATCTTATCACAGAGATAGTCCAGGTTAATGTTACACACATAATCTAGTGGTTATCATTTTAACTAATAAAAATTCTACAGAGACAGTACTTCATTGTAAAAAATGCTGAATATTAGAATATCTATATGTTATATGTGTGTGTGTAAATATATATATATATATTTCAAAAAATGAAAGTCCTTTCCTTTTCTCTTGCACTGGCCCTCTACCTCAAGGCCCAGTCCTCTACTAATAGCTTAGTATGTATTTCTACTAACTGTTAATAATTATGCTTTTTTTCATGAAGAATACTCATATCTTATAAAGTTTTAAATCTCTTTTCAAATATGAGAAATTCATTTTAAGCAGAGGATGTAACGTTATATTTCTTGGCATTCCCTAGGCCTACCACAGAGATACTTTGGCACACCCAATAAGCATTTGTTGAAAATGATTATAATATATCCTTCCCAAACCACAAACTCAATCTCAAAATAGACCATGCCTATAAATGGTATGATGACAGCTACTTGATCATTCAAGCTACCAATCCCAACAGAGAAGTTGAAAGACACAGAACTCAGAACATGAACTATTTTGTTTTTCTCTGTGGTCCTCCTGAATGGGCCTCTGAGTTCACAACTATGCTATTTCCTTTCTGGATGGAAATTGTCTTTGAGGTCAAAAGATCTTGTACAATCTCCATAAGTAGTATAGAACTAGTGCTTCACACAAGACTCGCTTAGTAAATGCTGGTTGATTCTCAAATGCTTAGGCAGAGCCTCTGGCAGCCTCTGTAGGACAGAAGGGCTATTCATACATGCAGGCTTGCCAAGCATCTGAGGAAAAGGGCTGCTAGATTCTCCTGGAACCAGAAGCTTACAGACTGACAGAGAAATGTGTCCTGTAAGATGTTTCACACAAAGCAAGACCAAGTGAGGAGGTAGTGTCTGAAATTACATCAATGAGTTCATTTAGGAGGAGCAGGATATCAGAACTACTGCAAGTTCCAGACAGACCACATGTGCTAGCCATCATTTAAACATAGGTTATTTTTCCAAGGAAAATATTGCTGTAACAATTGTCCAGGATAAATGAAAAATTCCATCAATCATGGTACTACAGTTCCTTGTTGTCTTGAGTAGGCCAAGATAAACAATCTTGAGCTCATCAGGGCCTGAACTTGATGTTTTTGGGGCAATGCTCTTTACACCTGACACAGTCAGTGCACACGGCATTTCCAACATTTCCCTACTACTCAATCACGGAACAAGGCCTACTGGATGTCACTAGCAACATCAGTTTCAACTAAACAACCAAAATGCTAATTAACCTCATTTAGCATCCAAAGAGTTCCTCTAATAATGTAAGCTATATGTATAAACTATAATTGTGGTTTTTATCCCACCTTCTCCCATTAACCAATTAACATTTGCCTTTGCAAATATAAAATCACTGAAAAAAATTTACCCAAGTACAGCAAATGTAACAAATTTATGTATCAGTCTCTAATACATTTATCCTCCAGAAAGTAAAGAAAGTAAATAAAATCAGCTCTACTTGCATGATCAGAGCTTACATGTAAAGAAAAGGACATACAGAAAGGAGACAACCCTAGCTACTCAGAAGGCTGATATATGAAGATCACCATTCAAAGCCAACCCGGGCAGACAAAACCAAGAGACTCTTATCTCTAATTAACTAACAAAAAGCCAGAAGTGGAGCTGTTGTTCAAGTAGTAGAGCTTCACCCTTGAGAAAAAAAAAAAGACAGGCAAGTGCAAGACCCCGAGTTCAGTACCAGTACCTGCACCCGCCCCCCCCCCCCTTCTCCCAAAAAAGAAAGCAAAACCAGGAGAGGTGCATGACCAAGAGTCAGATTCAGTCCTACTTTTTGAATGGAATTAGAAACACAAGGAGACAGAATTCACTAGAATCAGAAAAGGCCATCAATTCTAATCTCTAGTCAGTTAGCATATTTAATGCCATATACACTTGCCACTCCACATTAGAGGAGCATTTTATATCTTTCAAAATCTGTATCACATTTAATTATTGCAATGAGACCTTGTCTACTTAACCCCCAAGAACTGAAATCCCTTTGGTACAGGAATTGAACCGATACATTTTAGCAATTAACATACAACATAATATGTGGGATGTGCTCAAATACTGAATCCATTTTCTTTTCTTTTCTTTTTATCGGTCATAGGGCCTGAATTCTGGGCCTGGGCGCTGTCCCTCAGCTCTTCACTTCAAGGCTAGCGCTCTACCACTTGAGCCACAGTGCCACTTCCAGCCTTTTTTTTTTTTTCTTCTGCTTATGTGGTGCTGAGGAATCGAAACCAGGGCCTCATGCATGCAAGGCAAGCACTCTACCACTGAACCACCTTCCCACCCCCTCCATTTTCTTTAAGAACCACTTGGAAGTCCCTGAAAGGAAGGATGAAGTGTAAAACTAAGGCCAGAGCCATTTAATTTCCCTATGACATAAGAGCATGCAATGTAAAACTGTTCTGGGACTTCTACTTCTTGCCAAGATATACTGACAGGGATCAGATTTACACTCTTACCAGAAACACCTAAAATACATAGAACATATGAAATAATAGCTTTCAAATCACTGCACATAAGAGTATGAATTATAATAATTCCTGAAATAAAGGAAAAGAACAAAATGGGCCCTTTCACTGCTTCAACTTACTACCTAGAAAGTGTTCCCAGGCAACAGCACTGGGAACAGGAACCCAGGCAAAGCCCAGAGTATCCCCAAATTCAAGAGATGAAACTAGTAGTTTGGGAAGAACTAAAAAGGTTCGCAGGGTAGAAGACCAAGGGGGAGAGAGTGCAGAGAAAGGGAACTCTGAAGATCAGTAGAGGGACTGATGTGATCCGAATCACATCAGTCTAAGGGTTTATATGCTGAATGTGGGGCCTTTGGGGCATAATGAATATTGGATGAGGCCTGCAGAGTGGGCCCACCGTAAGGGAATTAGTAGTTTTTAAACAAGAGGAAGAGAGACTCCAGATAGCTTGCTTGCTCTGTCTCACCATCTGACGCCATGTTAGGGTACAGCAAAAGGCTTTCAGCAGATACTGGTGCCATGCTTTTGGACTTCCTAACCTCCACAACTGTGAGCTGAATATATCTCTAGTCTTTATAAATTATCCAGTCTGTCATATTCAGTTATAACAAAAGAAAACTAGTATGTCCGAGTAACCTAACTGGGTTCCAGAAGAAAGGTTGAGAACCTTTTTTATACAACAACATCTAATTCCCACGAAGATAAAATTTATAATATCCAACATTTCATCAAAAATCACCATATATGCAAGGATAAAGAAACCTGGATCCCTAACAAAGAGAAAAATCAATCAAATTTACCCGGAAATAGTATAAAAAATAGTCAAGGACATTAAAGTAAATCAGTTCTAACTATACTCCATATGTTCAAGAATTAGAGAATATGTTCAACATGCCAAGTAAAGACACAGAAGGTATTTAAAGACTCAAGTCAGGCTTGTGGAAATGAGAATTATAATGTCTGAGATGAAAAATACACTAGAATAGGATCAACAGAAGATTAAACACTGCAGATGAGAATAGTGAACTTGAAGACCTATCCATATACACTATCCGAAGTAAACACTTTTTTCTCTAAAAACTGTATGGAGAAAAATGAACATAGCATCATTAAGCTGCAAAATAGCTTCAAACAATCCAATATATACATACAACTCCCTGGAGTATATTTGAGAAAAGGCAGGAACAGAAAAATATTGAAAAATAATAGCAAAAAACACCCTAAATTTAATAAAAAGTTTAAAACCAGAGATCCAAGAAGCTTACAAATATTAAGGTTCAAGAGATATGATGAGGGCCAGCCATGGTGGTTCCTATAGCCCAAGCAATATGAGAGGTGGAGATGAGAGGATTGTGGGTCAAGGCTAGCCCCGCCCCCCAAAAAAACAATTAGCAAGATCCTATCTCAAAAATCAAGACAGGCGTATCTATAATCCCAGATATGCAGGAGGTAGAGGTAGGAGGATCACTATTTAAGACCAGCTCCAGGCAAAATGGTAGGTTTACCCAAAATAAAGTAAAAAGCCAGGTATATAATCCCTAGTTACCTGAGAGGCTGAGAATGGGAGGATCAGGCTTGGAGGCTAAACCTGGGCAAAAATCCATGGGACTCCATCTTGACAGAAGGCAAGCTGGACATGGTGGCATGTGCCTGTCATTACAGTGATGACACAAAGTCTATAGAAAGCAGATTTTAGTT